CTTTGGACGATAAGAGACAGACCATGAAGACAACTCCATTTAGAGTAAAGACAAAACAAAAAAAGAACAGCTTCAGACTGTATATTGGTGGTTTCCAGGCTGAAGGGTACAGCTGCCTGAAACTTCCATACAACACATGAATAGAGGATTCAGCAGCAATCTATACAAATTGGGTTTGACTCATTAATTTCACTGATTAAGTCATTATTGACCTGCACAGTCAGAGGGCCCAAGATAAATCAATCAAACAATCTTTAATATATATATATTATGTATATTTAAAATCTGGTGCAAAGAGATTATTTCATTAATAGGAAAGAAAAGACAAGCCTGCAAGATGATGTGTGTGTATACACATATTTACAAGACAGACAGTGAACCTGTAAGTACACATCAGATGTTAACTTATAATATAGTGAGAGTTCTGATTGCCAGTGATTATCTAAACAATCTCCTCTTCTTCTTTGGTATATAACATGGTGCGGGTTATTTTTGAATGTGTTGATGAACATGTTTCTGATGATTCATCCATGACGTCCATGACAGTACCCTGAAATTATGATCTGATGCCTTCAAAGGCCTCTGCTGCTTCCGCTGGTTGCCCATTGACCATTTATTTCCAACCACAGCAGAGCAGCTTCCTGTGGATGTGAACCTGCATCACATCTAAACCAGTGTGACCTGGAACCAGGTTAATGCCAGTGATAATGTCTGAACAGAACAGAAGAGCTGAACTCCACCGACCTCTGTTGCTTTAGAAACATCCTCATTTTGACACATTTCACACTGTCTTCGTCTTCATGTGTACGCACAGACACACTTTGAGTGATCACACACTAACACACTGTGAAAACCACAGTGTGTTAGTGTGTGATCACTCAATTGACCTGTTTCCTGTTTTAGCTGCTCGCTGGCAGAAGCCGGTGGTCAGTCATACTCTGTAGTTGAAGCACCACACAGTCACAGTGCCCCTGAGAAAAGATTTTATCTTGTATGTCTCCCTTCATTTATTTATTTATTGGTTTTTGTGTTGAACTAGATTCCCCCTCCTCATAATGTCATTGATTTCCTTGCCAGGTGCAGTGTCAGTTCCCTTAAAAGTCCAATACAGTATAAAAGTAGATGCCAATGTCTTCTTTGATTATAAAGCAGGTCTAGGTTCAGTATTGATACTGTGAAAGTATCAAAGAGCTCAGTCCACAGAGAAATGCACACAGCCTGTATTCAGAAACTGAGCCCTAAACTGAGCTGTCAGGACTTCTGTAACTTTGTGATGTCACAACAATGTGGTCACTGCCCTCAGCCACATCCCAAGCCCCGCCCACCTGGACCCACCACCCAACCTTGCAGGATTTGGTTTCTCAGAGTGTTTACCTGAAATCTGCTATATTTTTATTGGATCGCTCAGCAAACAGTCAGCCAATCAGAAGAGAGGCTCAGAGCCTCATCTTCTTATGGATCAACACTTCAAATAAAACACTGCAGAAGAGGAAAATTTAAAGTTGTTCACCTGTGTGTTTGTTATTTAGGATACATCTATTCTACATGACTGTAACATGACTGTGACTTATTGTCATTGACTGTGACCTTCATCAGCCATCATTAGTCAACAAAATAACACACTAATTTTTCTGAGCATCATGGCAACTCTGTATGTAAGTTCATCTTTAAAAACATCTCCCGTAAAAAACGAGCCCATAGGTCATTTGTGCTGCAGGTTATTATGTCCCACAGTTACATTTTATTGCTAAGCGTCATCTAGTGGTCGTAGTAATTATGACAGCAAAGGGAAAGTGCGGAGACGTAGTATAAAGAGAGACAAAGTCCATGTCAGGAGGAGGTTATGGTGGATGGATGGATATGATACAGGAGAGCGGTGTTCGACTCCCATGTGAAAGTAGCAGTTGATGTTGTTTCTATCATCCATGATCGTTTGTTGTTATTGCTGTAACCATGACAACAAACATCGTCTAATGTTCAGGAAGTACTTATTTTAACCCAAATCACGACCTTTTCCTAAATCTAACCAAGCCATAACTGTTATTATAGTAAACATGGCGACAAAGGTAGGTATGTCACTCTTGGTACAGTCTGCTTGTATACTTATTATCATAACCATGACAAGTTGGTTCACCTGCTGCCATAGGGGCACTACTTCAGGAGACACTCCAATGGGTCGAATCAGCGGTTTGAAAAAAACAACCTGTTAGTTCAGATTAGAGGAGTTGTGGTGACTATTTTCAGCAGCGGATTAATCCACATTTGGTGCTGTAGTGAGTGTTTGGGGCAACAGGACGGTGTGTGTGCGGCTGAGTCAAATAAACTTTGTGTGTTAATAGTGATGAAGGAACATGTCACCCGGTGACACAGTGAGTATAACTGATGTCTTTTAATAATAAACACTGGAGCTCTGTGGCTCAGATGACCTGATGAGACATTCAGTGCTTGCTTAAGAGAAGAAAAATATGGAGAATCATCACTTTTACTGAAAGCTGAGATGAGTCTGAGGCTCAGCAGGATCTCAGTGCCGTGTTTCAGTCTCAACACTTTTACTGGATGAGCCATTTCAGGAACAACAACAAGGAAGCTGCTCTGTTGAGTTAATAATGAACCAACCTGGGAGAGAATGAGGAAGCAGGATTATTGACTAACTAACCTCCACTGCCACACAGGAACAAACAGCCAGCCTGCAGACCCATCTTAAAACACACATACAAGTGTGTCTGATATGAACCAAACTCTATTTATTACCTCCATGACAGCTACACAGAAGGTGTAAAAACCCATGTTTCTATAAAACAAAGCACCTGTTGTGTTACTGACATTAAATAAACTCCTCAGTTTGTTACATCGTCTGAAAAGTGACAGTTGTAGGAAACAGGAAATGATAATTATGTAATGTGGGACGTGTGCACTCAGACAACAGACTTCAGTGCAGGTAGAACACAAACACTGTTCAGTCTTCTCACTTTATAAATCTGAATTTAAAAGGCAGAGAGAGACAGTTATCATTAATCTTGCTGTCATATCAGAAGTTTTAAAAATGAATATAGATGTCTGTGTGTAAAGTGTAGAGTGGGGTCCTCTGAGCAACACAACTAAACATAAGCCATTAAAACACACAAATCAGGTGTTCTGTGTGCATCATTTATTACTATAGCTGTTGTATGACCCACTAACCTTTGATCCCCAGTCTGGCTGCTGTAGGTCCAGTGCGCACAGATCAAAATCTGAAATCTGATCCTAGATCAGATTGTCGGTCTCTCATTAAAAAGTCTGATTGTGGGTCACTTCTGGTCAGGAGGTTAAAGTTTTTTTAAATGTTTTAAGTAATATTTCCGGTTGTTTCATAGCACTTTAGATGTTATTAAAAATGTCTTCTGTTCTAACACTGGATAAAGTAAATGAAATATGTTTTTGCGAGTATGAAAGTTGGTTTCTGAGAAGAAATCTGTAAGAAACAGTAATAAAAGTAGCTGTTGGGGGAGGTCTGGTAGCTCACTTGGTAGAGAGGGTAGCATGTGCGAAGGCTGAATCCTTACCGCAGCGGCCCAGGTTTGAGTCCAGCCCGGGCCTTTTGCTGCATGTTCTTGCACTTCTCTCTCCCCTAACTTTCGTCTTTCGTCTACGTCTATCTCTACTATCGCTATAATAGAAAATAAAGCAGAAATGCCAAAAAAAAATCTTTCAAAAGAAAAATAGTAATTGTTCACTTACTAGCTTTCTCTCAGAGATTTCAACTACTTTCAAAGCTGCTTTTTAAGAGACACAGAATGTATGGTCACTAATGTCACGTAGACACTTCCTCTGTATGCACAGTATGCATGTGTGTGTGTGTGTGTGTGTGTGTGTGTGTGTGTGTGTTTGTGTGTGTGATGTGTTGGACCCTGCAGGTTATTTCTGCCTGTTTCTTACCTCTATTCGGCCACATGTCTATTCAGAGCCTCTTGGTATATAAGTTTTGAACCAATTTTTGAACCGTTTATGTGTTGTCGGGTTTCTCCTCCTGTCCAGGTCCCATCGTCTGCTTTAAATATACAACACTCTCACATGCTGATGACAGACATTTAACAAAAACTGAGAGATATCAAATGTCTTATATGCCATATAAACATATACTGTGATACACTGTGGAAATGTGTAACTCGAAGATCATTCTAGAATAGACAGTAGAATTTAAAATGAATATCATTCTCAACTTCATCCACATCACACAGGAGTCACTTAGTGATAATAACTTTCACATAACAGTAGTGGATGGGAACAAGAATTAATGGCATTTTATTTGCTGATTTTGTGAAATTTGGTTAAAATTTGAGCTCCATGAGGATGGCAACTTGATTATGATATTTTACTAAATCTCCTGTTGAACAGTCCAGTAAGCTGTTTTATGATTGCCCATTCACAATGAACCCCAGCAGCAGTTCCAAATGGTTCTACTTAGTGTGGGTGTCCCACAAAGCTCTATTGTTGGTCCTTTTCTATTCACTGTGTCTATAAGCAATAATACAATGGTGCAGCTGGCATAAACTTTGGTAATATTGAAAACTAGAGCCATGTGAAACACCTTGCGACCAAGAGTAAAGATAAATTGGTATTTCTGTACAGAAACACGTCTTGCTTTTCTTCTTCAGTAGTCCATTGTACAGTCTATGTTTATAATTATGTCTGCACTTTATGGTGATATGGAGAATGGTGTGTCTTAAAAGAGATCATTACCTCAGTGGGACGATCTGTTTAAATTCAATATTAACTAACCAACAAACACCCAAACCCACTGTCCTTCATCATATTTCTAACTAACTATAAAACGTTATTATATTATACAGAATCAGAAACTCTAACTGTCTTTGGTATGACAATAAGCTGAGTTGTTTTGTGCGAGGTGGACAAAACAATGAGGGGAAGCACCGAACCCTTAGAGAAGGTTGAATCAGTGTTAATGACAGACACTGAGAACAGTGTGAACACAGCTGGCAACTCAATGGGCTTCCCACATCTATAACTGAGAGTCACAGAAAAAAAAGAGTGACAACAAAACAAAAGCAGGACACATCAGTGCTGAGAACCTTGCACTCTTTTACCTAACAGTTTTGCAGTATTACAGGGTGATAGTTACAGTTTGCTGAAGCTCACACCTACGTACATAGATACACACTTTGTTTTCTGACTCCAGACTGAATAACTCCACCTAATACGGTCATCTTGTCCATCCTGTTTCTTCTCTCATATTCACTGACAACAAGGAGCAAATGTCAACTGTGCTTAAACCTCCGCCATGTTTTAAAGTGTATTTTCAGGTAGTTTAGTCGTGGTTAGCTTAGCTTTAGCATGCAGTTAACTGCTAAAAGAGGCGGTGACATTAAAGGACCTGCACACCAAGTTCAAACCCACTCACTCATTTTGATTTAGTTTATATCTGATGTGATATCTTTGGCATGTGTGAACAGTGTAAGCCTGTGTGGGCAGGCCACCCTTAACTGAATGACACAAAAAATATTTGTTCATTCATTCAGTCACAAAAAGTTGATTGATGAATGGATGGATTGGTGGATGGATGGATGGATGGATGGATGGATGGATGGATGGATGGATAGATGAATGGATGTGGAGGTGACTGTCCAAGACAATAACATTATCATTTATTTTCACTAAAGTGGTGAACAACACAGAGCAAAAAGCTCAACAACACACAGCTCAACAATTTTTGGGTAATGATAAATAACTGAGACAATATAGAAGCATGTATGACTTTCTCAAGATCAACGACCTGATCTTTGAGATGCTTCCCGGTTGATAAAAACATGACTGAATGATTTTTGTAACTTGTGTTTTTTCTTTTTTTTTCTTTTTTTCTTTTACATAACATTGATATTGACTGCTGTGTCCCAGTAGCAGCATATATATATACCCAGAGCAGGAGGGGGCCAAGGATGGAGCCTTGGGGAACACCACAGGTCAGCAGGGCTGCTGAGGAGGAGGAGGAGGAGGCATCACTGAGGAGGATTTGAACCAGTCTAAGGCAGTATCCCTGACACCAGCCCACTTTTCAAGGCAATTATATAAAACAGAATGAGTGAAAGCTGAGCTGAGATCAAGTAGGGTTAAAAACTAAACCAAAAGTAAAAAATCATCAATAATTTTTATGAGGGAAGTTGCAGTATTTTGATGTGAACGGAAACTCAATTGAAATTTATCAAAGATTTTATTATTATTCATGAAATTACCAACCTTCTCTAAACCTTTAGATAAAAGTGGTAGCTTGGACATGGGTCTAATAATTTTAAAATCAAGAGGGTCAAGAGAAGAGGATTCACCACTGCATGTTTAAGACAGGAAGGAACAGAGCAGGCAGACAGAGAGCTGTTTACAACGGACACAACTGTGGAAGCGACACTGATATAAACCTCATAACATCCAGAGGACTTGACGAAGGCTTGAATTTGGCAGTTGCGTCCTTTAATGTGCAGAATGAGAGGGTCAGTGAGACAGAGGGGCTTAGTATACAGGGGCATCACAGATGCCCAAGAATAATAGGAGAGGCTTTAGTTTTTTGACTAGAAGGAGAGAATTAATTATGGAATCAATGGTTTTGGAAAAGAAAAAGTTGAAAGTGTCACCACTCTGAGTCATATGGTGTCTAATATAAAAAAAGCATTCACACCTTTCTCACAGACTTTGTTTAGCTTTGCATGTTTTACACAAAGCAGCCTGATGTCACTCAGTCAGTTCAGTTTATCAGATTAAAGCTGCAGCTCATGTAAATAGTTACCACACAGAAGCAAACACCAGCAGGGTTTTCCAGGAAAGTAAAAGTCTTTTTCTCAACAGTGTGTGTGTGTGTGTGTGTAACAGGAAAAGACTGGCCGAAGAAACACTGGGTGAGTTAATAATCCACAGAAAACAAGTGGAGAGACACATGCAGATATACACAGATGAAAAGTAGTGTAACATAAGAGGCTACAACACACAGAGCCTTGTATGTTATATGAGTGAAGTGTGTGACACACAGAAGTACCATCAGTGCCAAGCTCAACCCTCAAATCTGACCTACAGTTACTCAAACTTTTTCTTGTTTTATGAAATATTTTTGTCAAATATCATCATGTTGGTCTTAGCGCTGCTCTGCGACACTGAGAACATGATGAGTCCTGACCCTAAAATTATCTTAACCACAACCTAAACCTATATTTAAACCTGTGCTTTGCTGAAACTTCCTAACAGTGATGATATAAAGCTCTAAAATTGGATTTTCACGCAGACAGAGGTATACGAAAACACACACTCACGCTGTACTCCTGAGCCAGAGTGGCGGGATCCAGTGTCCTGAGGGTGGACAGCAGAGAGGGCAGTAGCTCCATGTCGCATCAAATATCATCCAGCAAACATCAGAAAACATCCAGCACCTGAGCCGACCTCCTCTGACTCTGTCAGAGCTGTGACTGCAGTCTGATCAGTCAATACTGAAATTGAAATTAACCTCTTGCTCTCTCTCTCTCTCTCTCTCTCTCTCTCTTAGTTCTCTCTTTACCTCTGTCTCTGTGTGTTTCAGTTCTGTCTCTATATTTAACCCCTGTTAGTTAATGATTTAACAGTAGGTAATTATGCACCTCTCTCTCTCTCTCTCCCTCTGTACAAAGGAGAACAAGGAAGAAACTTTAAATGGCATAAGAAAAAGCAAAAAGTTCAGGATGGCAACTTGATGATGTCATTGAATTGTAACATGTCAATGCGAGTCAGAAAGATGTTTCCTTCCTGAGAGCACAAAACATGTGAATGAACCAGACTGTGGGCAGTTTTAATCAGACTGCCATCGCCACCTGTGTGTGTCTGCAGGCAGTGCACAGAAACAGATGTGCAAGTCAAACCGGATCATTAAGAATCAATTTAAAATTTTAAACTTGAATTTTACGACCTAATCGTCCCCGTTAAAATGCAAAAGATGTCAGCTGCGGCCAGGCCACCAAGGTTCACCTTGAAATACATTTATTTCAAGTCACTTCTTGCAGCTGTTTATCATTTAAATCATCACCTAATTACGCCACACACCTTGATCAAAGCAAGTTCGGTTATATTTTATCACACACTTCCACAAAGTCTCATACACCTCAAACAGAAAGCTTAGATTCCGCCATTAGCCCTGCAAAGGTGCAGTTTTGCACACTTGTACCTAGAAAGCTCAGTACTAGACTGACCTTTTACACACAATAAGCCACATCTAATCACATTCTGGGCCTGACCCTACCTGGCAGGTTAATGTAACACCTGACCTGATATAACCTGATGTGTACCTGTAGCAATATAATCAAATACAAAGGCTACAGACTCACCTAGTTTAAATTGCTTTATGTGTCATTTGAATTCAGACAATCAAACTTGCCTTTATTAGACTTAATAGATGTCTAACAATAGCAGACAAATCAAACAAACATGGACGTTAATGTTGCCTGTTAGGATTCATAATTATGGCAAAGAGGAAAATACACCTATCTCTGCTACAATGACAAGGGCATTAAGTATTTTTAAATTAAATAGTATTTTTACTTTTACTAAAGTAAACTATCTGAATACTTCTTCCACCAGTGTCTGTGCTTCATCACAACGTTTACCCATTAAACAGAGGTGCAGAAGACCCTGAAGGTTTACCGTCCTCTGCAGCTGACAACACCGTGTAGTTCATTCTCGGTTCTCGGAAACAGCGTCAGAGTGAGAGCTCTGTCCTGTCTCCTCCTCTGTACTGCACTCCTCTCTGTTAGCTGCTCCGTCTCCTCCGCTAGCTTAGCCTGCTAGCTAGCAGCCCAGGTAAACATGGCTATGTCGCAGGCGCTGTCAGAGGAGGAGTTTCATCGGATGCAGGTAAGAAAAACAAGACAGCGGTTATTTCAGGTTGGTGGGTTCACACACAGGTAGCTGTCACTGCTGAGGAACACCTGTCAGGGGCGTTAGCTTACTGATGCTATCCGTTTGTCGTTAAAGGGTGGGAGTAGTTAACGGTGTCCTGCGTTAGCTCGGGGTGGGAGGGGGGCTGGCGGGTGTAATTTAATAATGTCAGGGAGGTGTCGGTCAGTTTGAGCTGGTATTTTGTCTCATTGATAATAAACTGATCAAGAAGCAGCTTTCATTGACAACCCACTGCAGCTTGCTCAGTGTCCACAGCTGTCGGGCAGAGCTAGCTTAGCATAGCTTAGCCTCCTCCTCCGGAAGAAGCGAAAGAAACCAGAGAGAAGGTGGCTGGATTTAGCTTCCTGCTGCTAACACTTCTTTCTGTCTGTCGGTTAGCTGACATGTTCGCAGCCACGGGACACTCGCCCTGATGAGAGTCACGGGGTCTGAGGCGGGCTAACACACCCAGCAGTGTGTGTTTAACAGCGGGCTCAGAGTCGTCTGTCTGTGGCTTAATGTAACGTTACAGCATCAGTCACACAAATAAACATTTCATATGCTCAGGGGTTCAGTCAGTGTGTAGACACGGAGCAGAGGAGGAGCTGGGTTACAGCTCAGTGCCGTCACACAGACACCTGTTAGCATGCTCACTGCAGACATTGGTGGTGTTTACATGCAGAGGGTAAGCACACCTGGGTACAACTATAGCGGTCTAACCAACAGTCCTGCAGCAAGCCCCAACCTCATGAAGGTTCAGAGGTGAGATTCAGCTCTGTGGTCATTATGGAGCCTGCAGGATGTGCTGCAGTTTTACTGTGCGTTATATCATTGTATATGTATTAAGTAAAGCAGTGAATTTAGACATCCATCTGAAGTCTGACTATTTGTTATATCTAAGATACAGTCAGAGTCTGTCTTTGTGAAACCAGCCCCTGTAGTCCGGTTCATTTTGTTCAGACCAAAGGACAGAAATGATTACTGGTAGTACTGGTCTGATTTGGGTTCACACTGACAGTCATACAGTCTGACAGGTAACTCACTGATTGGACTGTTCTTCTCATCTTGCATTACCAGGAGCAAGGTGAGGAAAACAGGTCTGTGTACATTTATATTCCCTGGTGTCACAAATAATTAATCAGTTTTTAGTATTATTAATATTATAAAGCTCCAAATTTACTGTGTTATTATTAGTGACAGACAGTAAGAGACATTCATTACTGCTTTAGTGAACACAGAGTAGGATACAAACACAACACACAGCAGTTTTACCTGATTTTTGACTGATTGATCACAGCAAAATCCTTCACACTATATGTGCTGTACACATTGCTTATGCAGATTGATTATCAGATCAGTCTTGGTCTTGTTATCTAGTCTGCACCAGGGTTCGACTGACACCAGTCCAAACACGGTGAACTAACCAGGCAAACACAACAGGGTTCATTCTAACCTGAATTAACATTAATTAGTGACAGCTGATGTGACCTGCTGCAGGAGACATTTGTCATTTTAACCTGTGATTGTGACAGCCAGCGCCAGATAAACATAACAAGCTGCAACCTGAAGGTTTTCTACACTGAGCTTTGATAATGAGAGGGAACAGATTCATCACCAGAGTTCAGCAAATCAGCATAGTTTTCCAGTTTTTGAATTCTCATTTGGAGCCCACTGCTCAGTGTAGAGCCTGGCTGTCGTACAGTGAGCTGAGGTGGATAGAAAACAATAAAGCTCAGTGAAGAAAGGATTGGATTTTGGCTTTTTGGAAAGAGACTGTTAAAAAAAAAAAAAAACCTTGAACAGTGGCTCAAACAACTAGAGTTCCCTCTGTTAGACTTCGTGTCTCTCATGTCAGCAGGGCGTAATATAGTAGGGTTTGGGCTGCAGTTAAAGGTTTTATTTAGCAGCCAGGTCTATTTCATGTAAATGGAAGAACCCACATATAAACCAGAGTGTAGAAAGAGGCTTAAATTGCATCTTTTCTGACATACAGTATATTAAAGGTGCATCCTCTCAGAGAGGGAACAGGGACTAGTTAACAAAATATAAAGGAGTATTTTGGTGCTGATGTTGTGTTTGACCACCACTTTCAGTTTATACAGCTGTAAATTATTTTGCTGTCACATTTATTTGTGTTATCTGTATTTTTGTATAATGTCAAAATGATCAAAAAAATAAAAACTTGAATTGAATTGAAGAAAAAAAAAAAGAAGAAAGGATCAGATTTTGATCAACTTTATTTTAGCTGATAGAGATCCCTTAAAATATGTATACTCAGATCAGCTCTGAGTCTCAGGATATCATTGTGATCTCTATTAAAACACAGTGTAAGAGACACCAGGAGCTCGTATGTAAAACTCTGCATCACTGGATAGTTTGTCTGTCTTCATCTCTCTCTCTCTCTCTCTCTCTCTCTCTGAAATGTAGTGAAACACACTGAGCTGTGTGTTTGACTCTGTTCACACTAGATTAAGTTTACGTTTCATTTCAGTCAGTGGCTGAATGAGGAGCTGCAGGAGTCCTCACTCCTGACCTGAAGTTAATGATTCAGGTTTAAGAGCACAGTGAAGGCAAGTTAATTAAACATGATAATGATATAATGTGATAATGTTGTGTGTGTGTGTGTGTGTGTGTGTGTGTGTGTGTGTGTGTGTGTGTGTGTGTGTGTGTGTGTGTGTGTGTGTGTGTGCAGGCTCAGCTGCTGGAGCTGCGGACTCAGAACTATCAGCTGTCTGATGATCTCAGGAAGAACACGGCAGGTAAAGCATCTCTCTGCGATTATTTTCTCATTTATTCAATCAGTCATTTGGTTTATTAAAAAAAAAAACATGTCAGTCATAACTTTGTAGGATCCAAGCTGATTTCTTCAAACGTCTTGTTTTGTCTGACCACAACCGACACATGTTCACTTTACTGTGACATATGACAGAGAGAAGCGATTGATCGATTGGACAAGTAGTTGCTGGTCATTTGTGGATTGACTAATAGATTAAGCGACTAATTTGTTCAGTCCCAGTATCTACATAAACACCTCTACCCTCCTTCCCCTTACACTCCACACCTATACTTCTTGTCTGCAGAGAAGAAAGAAAGTAGAATTACTGCCTTGTGGCTGTCTGCCTCTGCCACTCAGACTAGTTTCAGGTTACTTCCCTGTTTATCCAGAGTCATTTGAAATATGAACCATTCGTCTGAGATTTTGTCATAATTGCTGTGAAGTCTTGGGTAATGGCTAAAAAGTGTTTTATGAGGTCACCATGACCTTGACCTTTGACCAGCAGAATCTAATCAGTTTGTCCTTGAGTCCAAGTGAACGTTTGAAGAAGTTACTGAGATATGAGACAAAAATGTACACTTTGACAGCAACAGAAAGTGAGGACATTACAGCATTTCACAGTAAAAACAGGAAAGAATGGTGTTGCTGTGCTGCTATAGCAGGTGATGACTAATGATGTTGCAGTGAAGTCACGGAGGAAAGTTTGAAACCACACATTGAACTGATTCAGATCTGGGTGTTTAGTAACAATCATTTAAACTCATGTTCACATGAACTGTGTGCATTCTGAGGTCATGTGATTTATTAGTGTGTTTCAGTCACATGTGAAGAAATGTTTCAGTTGAAACTGTTGAGAAAGTTTCACCAAAGCAGTTGTAAAATACCGTAAAACTCAAACTTGGCCAAGGCTGCTGTTGTAATAACCTGTGACACTGTGATGACTGGCAATGTTTTCTTCATTGAGGTACAGGAATATTAATTACAGTCTCTCAACAATCACAACTGCAGGTAGAAAACAATAAATACAGGCCATACTGTTCAGTCTGTTCATCCTCTGGTCTGGTTCTAACTGCAGGTTGTTATCTTACTTTCATGCGTCAGGAAATAAAAACAGGTTTCACCACACAGTTAGAGTTCAGCCTTTACTTTAAGTAATGTAACACGTACAAAGTAACAGGCAGGACTGCAGGAGGCACAGTGTTTCACTTAATGTACCAATCTTCACTTTGATATCATCACATGCAAAATCAACCCGTCCATTATCTACACCTGCTCACTGTGAGCAGTTTATTTAATTTTAGCTCAGGCACATCATAATCAGAGTGATGCCGCAATTTCTCAGTTAATCAATCAAAGACAGACAGTGATTATGTTTTAAAAGCATTAATTAATGAATTAGCCAAGAATTTGAAGAGGCACTAAAATTAAAAGTATTTACAATCTTTGGGGGGTTGTAGGGGACTCCCAGAATGCACTGGGTGAGAGGCAGAGAACAAACTGGACAGTAGGTTCATCACACATACAGAGAGATAGTCACGCTCACACCTTCAGACAGTTTACAGTCTCCAGTTCACCTCACCTTCATGAAACAACCACATGAATGAAATAATTCATAATTATAATTGTTATATATAATAATTGTTTATTTCCTGGTGTGATTCAAACACCTGATTGACTCAGGTGGAGCTGTTAAACCTCCATCCAGAGAAAACATTTGTTCAGTATGTTTTGGAGCTGTTACTATTGATAATTACTGATTAAAAAATCAATGAACCCAGTTTAAAAAGTTTAAAAAGTGTTTCTCCAGCACTGATCATGTTGGTGTGTGTTTCAGAGCTGAATGCCGTCCGTCAGAAGAATGTGGTTCTGGAAAGAGATTTTGTCAAAGCGCAGAAGGTAACAAATATTTAATTATTATCAATAATTAACATTTTCTACAGCTGTGTGGTACAGAAACAGATTTGTTTCATCTCAGTGTGCAGCTTTGGCTCCAGAATATTTTCTATTCACTGACTTTAACTGTAACAAGCAGATTATCAGTCAGTAAATTAAATTTCATATTGATCATTTATCTGTGTTGTTAATTTTCATGTGTTTTTTTTCTTCTTCTCAGGCTCTGAATAAGAGCAAGAAAGCTCAGGTGAGTCTTCCTTGTCTGGTTACTATGGTTACCTCATGTTCACTGATCAGTAGCGCCCTCTACTGTTCATCACCTAAACACACATGTGTCTAGTTCTTGTTTTTTTACCGGAGTCACCCTTTAAAATTGAAATTATTCACCATTAAATCGTAAATTGTTTTCAGATATTTATATTTCTAATGACCTCTAACTGACTAACTGACTTCTAATGAACTCTCTGACTTTTAATGCACTTCAATTCATGAGTTTATTGTAGTTCACTTTTTAAACCTTTCCTTGTTTGCACTTTAGATTTTTATTCTTTTCCACATCCAATCACAGATTTCTGCAGTTTTCATTGTTCTAAGACAGTTAATAATTAATTTATCTAAATTAATTAACTGAATCAAATCACACTTGTAGCCCCTGTTCAGTGTGTCACAGTTTGCTGGTGAAAAGCTGATGTTTTCCTGTAGGAGGTGGATGCGTTGCTTAGTGAGAACGAGATGCTTCAGGGGAAACTCCACAGTCAGGAGGAAGATTTCAGGCTACAGAACAGCACGCTGATGACTGAGCTCTCCAAGGTACGTCTGTGTTTGTGTGCCATACACCACACTGTATCAATAAAACATGCCATGTGTATAAGATTTTTATTATCATTGTTTTTTCCAGCTGTGTACACAGATCGAACAGCTGGAACAGGAGAATCAGGGCCTGAAGGAGGGAGGAGGAGCCTCTGCACCCGCTGCCCCGCCCAACCCCGCCTCCAGTCCTGTCGATGGAGAATTGCTTCGCCTCCAAGCTGAAAACTCCACCCTCCAGAAGAAAATGAAAGGTGTGTGTTTGTCTGTGAATGTTCTCATTCGTCCAGGTCATAGTTATCTCTCTCTCCAATTAAATCGAAGGCAACTGGACTTGTATTTGTCTGTGGAAGACGTTTCGCCTCTTATCCAAGCGGCTTCATCAGTCCAGACCAATACATAAGAACTGATGAAGCCGCTTGGATAAGAGGCGAAACGTCTTCCACAGACAAATACAAGTCCAGTTGCCTTCGATTTAATTTGAGAGAGAGATAAGGTGTGTGTTTGTTTGTGCTGATGTGTTGTTATTTATCTGCACAATATGTTTCAGAGGTTCTATAATCAGATCACTGAATGAAATTCCCTGTTTTTATTTACTGTTATATTAGTTCATAATAATGGCCACACAACAAACATTTGAAAAGCACATTATTAATGTATTAAATCGACTTAATATCTCATTTGGTTTCCTTGATCCTTTATGATATATGATGTTGTATTTCCATCTTTACTACAAAGAGCTCAGTTCTTTACTGCCTTTTTTATAGGAGCTGCAACAATTGGTCAATTAATCAGTCAACAGAAAATGAAATAAGCAACTATTTTTATAATTCATTAATGGTTTCAATTATTTTTCAGTGGTTGCAGCTTCACAGATGTGAGACTTTTCTGTTTTTCTTGACCTTACATTATAGTAAACTAAAAAGCATCACACAGCTGTGTTATGTTTACATGTGTGTGGCTCACTGTTTACACCATACTGAGGTGTTATTCCCTTCCAGCCCTCCAGGAGCGCTATGACAAAGAGTTGCAGAGACAGGTGGTCGCCCAGGGCAACCAGAGCGCTACCACGGAGACCGACGGGTCAGCCAGTGCCAATGGAGTCTCTGATGTCACAGGGAGAGGGGAGGAGCCAGCAGCAGAGGGAACCAGTGAGAGACTGGAACAGGTTTTGGAAATCATTCCTATTTTTTGTGATAACACTCATCTACAGCAGCTGTCGTAGTGTTTCTTTATTATGTCAGAGGATTTTGTTAAGTTTTACTTATCAGCATCTCTGATGTTGAATTTGGGAAATGGAGACTTCAGCAAGAATGATGCAGGGCTGTTAGCTCTACAAATTGTACGTTTCTCAAATTGCCACAGATAGTTAGTAAAACATTATCATGACCTGTGGCGATCATCTGAAAATATGAGTGTAACACCAGGTTGACAAATGCCAGAATTTCATTTGATAATTTATATAATGTATTTTTAATATGTTGTTTTTTTTCCACCTGTTTTGTTTGCAGACGGAGACTCAGCTGGAACAGACAGAGAAGCAGCTACATGGTGAGTTTCTTCTTCTTCTTACTCATTAGAAAGAATTTCCCTTTAAAGAAGAATTCCTGTTATTTCATGTGATATTCAGTAATTCTCTGGTCTGATAGTTATAATAAATAAGACATAGGACTGTGTGATATGACCAAAATCTCATATCCAAATCATTCGTATCCAGATAACAAATCATGGTTTAGCACATTTTCTGAAAATTGAATGACCTCATAGAGAGGCCTGTTTCTTATTACATTTTGAATTGTATACTAGACAAATAAAAGGCACTTACTCATATTTGATTATTTGTCTCCTTTCATTTAGAACCTTTGTGCAAATTTTCAATAATGCTGTAACAAAATATAAAATATTAATGTATAAAATATAAAAAGGTCAATATGGTCAAAAATATCAAAACCAAACATAAAATACTGAACAGCAGAACTGTACAACAGAACTGAATCCAAACATAAACATTGGAATATAAAATACCAAATGTAAATATGGAAAACTTTAAAGTTTAAACTGTAGAAGCAAAATACGGCTCACAATATAAATATGGAAAATACAACAAGCTCCTGGTTTTGTCTTGGCTGGTCGAAGTTCTTACCCTGTTGACTGTCCTCCATGTTTGTTTGTGTTGCCTTCATACAAATCTCAGATTGTGTTTTACTGAACAACAAAATAAATGATGGAGCCTAATATGAAGCAATATATGTTTTTATTTTACTTGTAAAAATAAAAATCAAAGGATGAAAATTTGCCTTTATTCGTATAAACATAGAATTTGCGGTGCTGTAAATGTTTGTATTGATTTAACCAGTAGTTATTAGTGGAGTCGCAGACCAGTGATCCATCTGAATGTCTCATGATAAGAAACAGGAGTTTTCCTCCTTATAGTTACAGTACGCTTTGCTTCCTGCTGACCTGACTTTATTCTCTTCAAACCTTCACTCAACACAAACTGTTCAGATTTATTTTGAAGGAGCACACATCATGTTGTTGTTTCTTTTTTTGATTCTATGAGATTACATGGATGTTCAGATTATTTTCATTATCATTTAAATCATTCATCCAAATGAATGATTGAACCATGAAGCCAGTTTTTATAGTTGTTGTTTGGCTCTGAGAGAAATCTTGTTGATATCACCTTAAAGGATCAGTCTGGTGTTGTTCTATATTCTTCTTCATGTTTAGGCTCAAAGCAACAGTGTTTTAGTCTGTCTCTCAACACTGCCTTCCTCTGTCTGTGGCTCTCAGCTCCAAGCTCATGGGTTCCTGCTGAACTGAACTACAGTGTGTGTTCATGGTGATGAAGGAACATGTGACTAACTGATGTGTCATAGTAACGATGGAGCTCAATGGCTCAGAGGAATCAGATCCATCAGGCTGTAGATACACACACACACACACACACACACACACACACACACACACACACACACACACACTGAGGTGTGGATCTGAACATGTGATTTGTTGACTAGAGGGAAAACATAGAACATCACCAGAGTTGAGCTTTAACATGCATAGTGCACTGAAGTGTTGTATCATGTCCCTCAGTGAACAAACTTTATTTACTTATTTATTCACTTCATCTGCTCAATAACAACTTCATTTGATCCTTAAAGGACCAAACTGGTGTGTTTGAAGATCAACCTGCACAGAGTCAAAACCTCCTGCACAAAGTTAATCAGTCACAATCAGTGTTTAATTAACATTTCCTGTCAAAGAGATGGTATTACTGTGTTCATGCTGCTGAGAGCAGAGGTGTGTTCAAAGACACCTCAGACACTGGTGATGCTGAACAACAACTCTTTTAATGTTTTCGAGCCGTTATTGAGCCCCATCATATACAGTATGGCAGGTTCATCATTTACTCTGTCACCCAGAACCCAACCAGTACTTCTGAGTTGAAATGATTAGTTGATTCATTTATTAGTCAATTGACAGAAAAATTAATGAGCAACAAATTTGATAATTGACAGTTAGACAATTCATTAGTTGATTGACAATCAACAACAGGTTTTTGTTTATTTGTTTGTTTGTTTACATGGGAAAACTAAACCAAATCCAACGGAAGTAAGTTGAAACTTTTATTATATAGAAATTAGATTTCTATATTTTCCAGCAAGCTTTTGTTATTGCAGTCAAACAACTCAAGTCTTAGCTGTCTCTGTCCCGAAGTTTGATTAAACACTGACTGTGATGAATCATCTCTCTGGTTTTTAAGTTTCATGAGTCTGCAGGCTGATTTTCATAGAAGTGATGTCACACTAACGTGTACCTGAAACGAAGGAAAATGATCTAAAATCATGTTCAGTGATTTAAAGATTGTTCCTCATCACAGAGTGAAGCATGTGAATGCACCAGTTTGGCCCTTTAATGGTGCTTGTTACCATAAATTCTCAAATACTGCCCCGTTAACCTCGTCTGCAGAAAGGCTTTAATCTGTTACCTTTACAGTTCAGGTAATTCCACCTCCTAAATGTTTAATCGGACACCTTCTGGTCCTGCTGGCCCAGTGTTTGGTTTTTATTTGAGAATTTACGGTGAACCTGCAGCCTGTCTCTATTGAAGCGTAGAGCAGCTAGCTGGCTCAGGGCAGACACACACTACAAACTGACGCAGTGAACAACTGTTTTACAGATGAACTTCAGACATTTGAAGTTTTAAAGAAACATCAGGATTTTCACTCTGATGTTTGAGTTTAGGCTCAGAAGTCAGGTATTTTCTGGCACAGCTGCAAAGACTAATGTACCCCTGTTAACTTCATTATAGAAATGAATATTACTGCATGTTGTAATACTTGACTGATGGTGGAGTTTAGTTTCCAACGGTTATAACTTCCCGCCTCCTGACCTCTGATCTCTAATGCAGTGATTCCCAGCGTCACTGATCAAAAGTATAAATATCATAATATTTTTTAACTACACACAGTTGAAGCTCTGAATCTCCTGTGAGCTCTGTGTTTATATTGTCATGTAAACCTCTTTTTTCTTGTAACGGTAAAGTTAGGGTTCGTTCCTTATCTTTTAGTAACTTCTGTTCTATTTTACTCTTTTTGTGTTTTATGGGGGTTAGTCACTTCTTTAACCCCTGTGTTTAATGTCACAATGCTATGGACTCTGGGTAATTCCCTAAGCCCTCATGGACTTACCGGGAATGCACTTCAAAGTCTGTGAGTCTGTGACGGTGGGCATTGGAATTGGGCCACTGACATCTCAGAGTATTGAAAGTCTGCATCAAATTTCAGCTCAGATTAATAATCTTTTTGACTTAATCTTCAGACAGTTCCTGGTTTAAATCTAAAATATGCCATTTACACTGTCCTTTATTTAGACAAGGTTCTTCATCTGCCTTCATCTGTTAAATGCATGAAATATTTTGGTCTCTGCACTGACACCCAGCCTCATGTCTGCATGAGGTAAAAAAGTTTTTTGAAGCAAACAATGTGTTCAGTGTTTAGTTATTGTGAATGTCAGACAGAAGTTTTCTTTACACTCAGTCTTCCTCACCAGAACATATGAGTTCCTCTTAGCGCCACGACAGGTGAAGCTGCACAGGATACTTCACACAAACTGACCTGAAGCTGGGAACATAGCAGAGCTCAGATAAACATGCTGTCAGTGAACACACCCTAATAAACCAGTACACAGTGATGTTTCACAGGTGTGATTGACTTTGCAGCTCAGCCAGAAAATCCCTTACTCTGTCCTGGTCAGGCCCCCCCCTCCCCCTCCCCTCCCTCAGACAAAACCTGTCAGGCGTCATGTAGGAGTGAGAAGCTGGTGTAGTGTGTGTCTGGCCTAACAGACTGCCCCTGCTGTGTGCGGCGCCCCCTTTAGGCCTGTCAGAGAAGAGCGTAGAGAAGATTGTAGCTAAGCAGGCAGCGCTAGGCTGGTCGGCTGCTCTCTGTCCAATAACTCACTGCTTTGGACCAGAGCTGGAGATGGCACTGAACACCGAGCAGGAGGAGAAGAGGCTGCTGAGGGAGCAGATCCACAACCTGGAGGTACAGCACACACACACACACACACACACACACCTACACCTGATACACAATCTGACATAACACTCACCATTCACACACTGAGCAGGAGAACATATACAAATATATATAACGACATTCTGCATTAGAATGGTCTCCCCACACTGCACAGTATTTAACTGCTTCAGATCATCATAACTCAGTCCGAGTCACGTCTGCTATCCTGCTAAATATTAGATGAATACCCTGATGATGTCACGTGAAGAAGAGCAGTGACTGAGTTCTTACAGCTTTTAAAAAGGAGGGAAATCAAACAGACAACTCTCCTGAAAACCTTGTCTTTGCTGACCTCCAGTGGTTTAAGTTTACACCTGACTGCTCTGAAGTACAGGTGAACTCCAGGACCTGGTGCCGGTTTCACAAAGACAGACTTTGACTGTGTCTTAGACAAATAGTCTGACTTCAGATAGATGTCTAAATTCATCCGTTGCTCAAAGCAGTTTAGTTCTTGACTATCTTAAGCCGGACTGTGGTATAAGTCTGAAATATCTCTGTGAAACTGGCCACTGGTGACATCACTGTTGGGTGTGGTTTCAAGAGGACAGCAGAACACTGCTTTACAGTCTGCGTTTACATTTAATAATTATAGAATATTTAATATATATAATTTAAAAGTTGCTATTTCAGTCATGTCACATGAGCCTGTGACCCATGAAGAGAAGGAAAAAATACACATTTGAGCTACAACAGAAAAGTGAAAACATGTGGCTGCAGTGCTGGTCCTTGGTCCATATCATCTTTAGTCATGCATCATTGAAGTGGTTTCTATCGGCTAAACTTTAATCCATGGATGTTTGAAGAGAACTGGAAACACTTTTCTCCCATTTATTCCAGTCAAAGTTCTTAACTGGTGCATGCAGCAAAAATGTTCTCCAGGCTTCTGCAGTTTTAGGCCCATATAGGACGCTCAGTCCTTCTCTGGCCGTGCTGCCTGACCCCCCCACACACACACATGAACGACATGAAAATAATTTATTGATGCGGCTCTTTGTGACTGAAATTTTTATTGGACCTAATGGATCAAATTCTCCTGGTAGGAGGAGAAATCACTGGGTGTGTGAGACATGGAGAAAATGGTTTTCATTGTTTTACAGATGTGTCTTTTGTAATGATTGTGTGTGGGGTAACGTCATTTGTCACTGATCCTGCAGCTCTGACTGTGACCAGCAGGTTCAGCAGCTGTTTGTCTAAATGTCCATTTCCCCTTTACTTTGTTCCCCCAGATAAGAAAACATAATAAATGAATCCAAAGACTCAAGTTTTAGTGTTTTACTGTGAAAAAAACCCTGGACAAACACAGTTTGACTCTTTATTATCTGACATTTGTTAAAATATTGGTAAAACATTTGACTTGTTCCTGAGATAAAAACATTTTCAAACACAAACAGAACTGTCACCTGCTTCTGATTCTTCTTCTCACTTCCAGTTGTGTGACATTACTGCTGCTGTTACTGTCCCCACTGACCCAAAGTCCAGAAAGTCAAAATGGTGGCAGATGAAATGGCCACACGTTGTGTGTGAAAGAGGAAACTAATTAATTCATGACAAGAACATGAACGGCAGCTGGCGAGCAGCGGTAAAATGTCAGCATGTACCAGGCCGACAAGAGCCTGCCGCTCTGTAACCGTGTCATCTCGTCCTTTTCATAATATTCACTCAACACCAGCCAGTGACAGCAAACACACCAGAGTGTTGTTTTATTATACAGAGCTTTTTAAATGTCCCCAAACATTTCACTGGAAACAAACAGGACCTTAAGATAATGACAGTTTCTCTGTCAGACACTATTGAACATACAGGGAGCAGGAAAAAACACACAAACTAATAATTCATGTGTTTTTTCCTGCAGGTTTCTTTGAAAGTCACATCAGCTAAAAGGTCCAGTTTTCACTTTGACTGTGGACACGATCACTAACTGATGAAACACAGTGTGCAGATAGTTTGTGTTTTGTTAGTTTTAGAGATAATGTTTTCAGCTGTCTGAACTCCAAGTTCTCCCAGTTCAAGTCCAAGTTCTCCCAGCATGCATTTTACATCAAGCAGCGGCGATAACTGAGAATTTGAGACAGACAGCCTTTACTGCCTATACTTTGAATACTTGGTTGTTTTTGTCAGAATGATTCAGACACTAATACATAAAATGAGATCTTTTGTTTTTGCGATATGTGAGGATCTGTTAGACCTTTCAGTCAGCATCCATGGTCATCATCCTGGGGGGCAGTGAGTGATCTCAGCAGCCCTGCTGTGATCTGGTATTTGTTGATAGTTTGTCAAAAGTTTTATGTTTTTATTGGACAGTTTAACAACAGAGCTGCTCTCCTTATATGTCCACATCTCACCACACTGTAATAAACATGAACATGAATTAACATCTCTATGACAGTATCAACAAAAATTGGACATTATAGGAATTATAAAAGTCCACTACAGGTGTACCTAATAAACTGTAAAGGTGGACAGTGAGTGTTTGTGTTTCTGTGTTGTTCACTTGACTCTGAGACGGTTCTAAACGTCTGTCCCCTGTCTGCCTGCAGGCGTCCAAACAGGCTGAAATCACCAAGCTACAGGAAGAGATAACAAAGGTATTTATTGAATTTTATCAGTGTTTATAAAAACAAAAGTGTGAATGAAGAATGAAAAGCAGCTTTGATTTGCGACTTCCTGTCTATCTGTGTGATTCTTCTCCAGCTCTCTGATAAGTTAAAGAAGAAGCAGGAGAGGTGAGACCCCTTCAGTTTGACTCTACCTCAGCAGAATTACTTTAATGCGAAGCTGTTGCAGTCCATCTCCTCCAGAGGGTGTAACAGTCTGAAGAACACGAAGAACATGTCCTACAATCAGACAGTGTTTGAATAGCTGTCACGATGTTTATTTAAAGTTGAACTGTTTGTATGAATTTTATGCAGATCAGACTAGAACAGACCGAAGGATGATGAAGTTTGTATTTAATGAAGTTTGTGTTTGTGTCTTTCTGCAGTTTTCAGCGTCTGCAGGGAGAGAAGGAGGCTCTGTACAATGACAGCAGGTCAGACATACACCTCTACTACTACTGCTACTGCTACTACTACTGCTACTACTACTACTACTACTACTACTGTTGCTCTAACAGCCACTACTACTACTGTTACTGTCACCTTTCTTGCTGCTGCTACTGTTAGTGTGACGACTGCTACTGTTACTGTTACTGTTATTGATCAAACTACTACTGTTACTGTTATTGTGCATACTACTACTGTTACTGTGACTACTACTACTCTTACTGTTACTGTTACTACTGCTACTGTTACAGTTTCTGCTGATGCTGCTACCTATCAAACTACTGCTACTCTTATGACCAATGGTGATATACAATTAAGTACTTATTTAAGTAGTGCACTTGTACTTGTACTTTGAGTATTTCCAGATTTAGCTGCTTTATACTTGTACTCCACAACATTTTACAGCACAGGTTTGGAAACGAGCTACCCACAGATTCAGACCATAGTAGTAGTAAAGCTGTGAATGGCTCTACCTTTGCCAGCTGTTATTAACGCACACACACAACACATGCATCAGTAGTTATAATCCAGTACTATATATTATTCTGAAGTGGGCCACTCTGCACTACTTTTGGTACTGAGAGTATATTTTGATAGTAATACTATAGTAGTGTACTTTTACTTAGTAAAGTTTTGAATGCAGTACTACTACAACTACTGTTACCATTATTGTGATTAGTGCTACTACTGATATGACAGTTAATACAACCACTGTTACTACTGCTCCTACTACTACTACTAATGCTATTACTGCTACTACTGCCGCAACTAAATCTACTACTACAACTCCTACCTCCTGTACTACTGTACTACTTGTGTTTATACTACTGCTACCACTGTTACCAATTTTACCACTGCTACTTGTACTGCTAATACTACTACTGCTGCCAACAGTCTCTCTACTGTAGGTACTGCTACTATCATGTTACAGCAGTTTGTATAAGTACCACTCTCTTGATGTTGCACCTGTTACTACTACTACTTCACAGTACTGTTACCACTGTACTGACAGGATCTGATGTCCATGGTTTTTCTGATGTTTTTGTTCTTGCTGTTTGTTGTGTTGTACAGCAGATGTGAACCTGTTGTTGTTTGTGTCTCTGCAGGACAAAGATCGATGAGATCAACCAGAGGAAAGAAGAGGAGCTGAAGGCCATGAACCTCCGCATCCAGAAACTACAGTCAGACCTCATGACAGCCAATCAGGTCAGACCTCAGTAACACACAGCTTTTCTTCCTTAGCATGACAACTTAACTACATGATCTTTTCTCTGTGCCAGGGGTTTTTTGGGGCCAGATCTGAAACCTATGATATTGAATACCTGCTGATACTGTGTCCAATCAGTTCATAAAGTTGTATTACTTAAATGTTGATTAAACAGCCTGTGTATTCGACACATTGAAGCAACACGGCTGGAGAATACCTAATCTCACACACCTCATTTTTCATGAGGTTAGTGATCCTAATTACTGAAGGTGATGGTTCAAAAATATAAAGTTTATGAGCTTAAATTATTGATATGAAAAAGTTCGGTTCAGGGAGAATGTCCCGCTGACAGTGACGTGACACGATCTGATAGAAAGTCTCACTCTGTTGGATTTGTTGGAACAAAAGAGAAACTGAAACTCACAAACTGTCTTTGATAAGCTCTAACAGAGCTGTGCAGAGAGCTCAAAAACCAACAACAGCTAAGGATAATAAAGGCCTGTAATCTAGTTCCTCATTAGTGACAGCTGATATCATGTAATACTGGTGACGTTTGTCCTTGTAGCCGCTTTGACACTCAGCAGCGGCTAAAACAACATGATAATGATTATCAGCATCGAAGGTTAGTCAACCTGTGTATGTTCTCAACCTCAATGTCTGAACCACACAAATAATATTTCACATTGACACAAGCTAATTTTCAGTGGCTTACACAGTGCACAGTATTGCACTGCAGAGCCCGGTTGTTTTAGAGGAGAGGAGCCGCAACACTTAACAGGCTGAGACAAAACACAGCAGGCAACAGTAATGAAATGATTGGATTATGATCTGTGTCATTTTAACTGATACCAAATATGCACAGAGTTACATCTCTTCTCTGTTAACTACAACTACTGTCACTGCTGATGCTGTTAGACTGAGTAACCTGTGTTTGTGTTTAGCTGACAGCAGAGCTGAGAGAGCAGCTGCAGAGCAAGGAGAAAGAGCATGAACTGGCTCTGCACACTTTGAAAGACCAGGTACAACACACATACACACACACACGCACACGCACAGGATGAAGACATAAATGGAAGTAACTGACTACCCAGTGTTCACACATCCTGGCATTTTGCAGCAAGAGCCTGTGAGCCTTGACTTCGGGCAGAGAAAACCAGATTCCCAGACCTCAGATCTCAGGTTCAGCACGACTGAACTGAGTAAAACTGACATGTAATTAGCAACAACAAGTGGACGTTCTTGTACACACTGATCAAGAAGTTTGAAGTAAAGCCCAGTCAATTTAATGTTGTCCAATACAAGGCTGAGGGCTAAGAAGGTTGTCTGAGGGAGAGACAGAGGCAAGAGGTGGAAGGAGATGAGGAAACAAGGGGAGGAAGGGTGGGAGGGAGTGAGGACTGATTGGAGGAATGTGCCTAAAACTGAAAACTTTAGAAACGCCTACTTTGTTGTGTCTCTTTTCTGTGAAGAAGTTTCGCTGCCAAAGTGAATTGATCTTGAAAAATTGATTCATATTCACCAAGAACTGTTCAAAAGGTAATACTAATGACTCGTGTGGAGAGAGGGAGACAGAGCTCGATAATACACATTGATTTTTCTTACCCAGCCCTTTCATATGACTGAAAAATACAAATATGTTTTCCAATACCACTCTGGCAGTGGACTAGCCTGGTGTTTGTTTCCCTGCCTGCTGCTCGAGCTGTGTTTCTAACCTGCTCTGTTCTTGTCTTATCCTCCTCACCTGTTCTTTATCTCTCTTTTTTGTCTCTTATTCTTACCTTTAATATTTGTGTTGTTTTGGTTGTGTCTCTGTTTATGTTTATATCCGGGTTTTCTTGTTTTGGTTATTGCTTTTTTTTTCTTTTTTTTCTTTTTTTCCTTGCTTACATTTTCCTTTTTGGTTCTCTTTCTTTGTGGTTCTGTCTCTCCTGTTCTCTGTGCTGCCCCCTGTGGTTCGCTGGTACTGCAGGTAGCCAGTCAGAGTGCAGTCAGTCAAGAGCAGGTGGACAACATCCTGCAAGAGAACGATGCTCTGAGGACAAACCTAGCAGCTTTAGAACAGGTAATAAACCTGCAGAACATCATCTTGAAGGTTACCCCCGAAACGGTGTTCAGCTGACTAACGTAGCTACTAGCCGGAGAACGTTACATAGATCCCTAACAATACGTTATCTCACGGGACAAACTTGGCACCTTTAGAACAGGCAATATACCTGGAGAGTGTAACACCTAGCCGACAAAATGAGTGATCTGGTGGTTTGCAGGAACAGGGGGGGCCAGGGATGGACTCAAACACCCGGTCCACCCCTGATCTGAGTACTAGCCTAGCTGCTCTAGAACTGGTATTCACACATAGAACACATATCTTTTACCCAACCCTTAAACCCAGTTAGAAAAGGTGAGTTTCCTTGTATCCATAACAACTAGAGTGTTGTCATAACTACACTACCAATGTTGGAACAGATCCAGTAACACTATCTAGAACCCGTTTTACATTTACAGAACTGTGCCTTTAAGTCAACACCTTACTGAGTATGAAACTATAACCCATCTCACAGGAGAACAGTGCTCTGAGGACTAATCTGTGCGCTCTTGAACAGGTAATTATATCTTGGGCTTAAAGTAGACTACCTTTAGATTGATAGTCTGAAGTTGAAACTTTCCTAGAACCCCTATTACTGTTCCTAAACCCTACGGTAAACATTAAAAATGTTTTAAAGCTGCGTACCTTGAAAATATAACACTTGTAAAACTGACTTAGCGCTAATCACAGAATATTTAATGATTTCTGAAACTCTATCTTAAACCACATCTATAGTTAGGACCCATTACTGAGTAGTTGGTATTGATTGTTGTTGAAGGTAATCCCATCGAGAACCCCATACACTGGTCAGTTCCTTAACAGAAACCCTGGATCCTTAGAAATGGAGTTCATATAGAACCCAACTAGAACCTAGTTTATGTTCTGAATCATCCAACTCATCCATCTCCATCTGCTGACTTCACTCCGTCTTTACTCTGTGGAACACCTCAGTACCTACTATCACGTGCTCTCATCAGCTGTCACGTGCTGTCACGTGCTGTCACGTGCTGTCACCTACTGTCACCTACTGTCACCTACTGTCACTAACTGTCACCTACTGTCACCTACTGTCACCTACTGTCACTAACTGTCACCTAATGTCAATAACTGTCACCTGCTGTCACCTACTATCAATAACTGTCACCAAATGTCACCTATGTCAAACTCTGCACTAACAGGTTTTTCATTTAAAGAACTAAAGATGAATAAAGTTGTTGAATCGTGTGCAGATCCAGACGGTAAAGACGCAGGAGATGAATCTGTTGCGTGAGCAGCAGGAGGCGTTGACGGCTGAGCTGCAGCAGAGACGAGCTGAACAGGAGAGTCTGTTAGCTCAAAGAGACGACCTGGACTCCCAGCTGCAGGTGACACACACACATACACACACACACACACACACACACACACACACACACGTGATAGGAATACTGGTGTGTTCCTCTGGTTGCTGTATCTGTGGGTAAAACACACCTTTAACAGGAAATCTGCTACTGACTAGACAAATAACAGATCCAACTTATTCACATATTTTGTATTTAAATAGTTTTAAGATTAGTGGATCTGTATAAACTGTAGGTCTGATTAACGAAGGAACCGTAAACAGTTTTCTTCATTTATCAAAAAAAAAATCTGTCTTCAGACACAAAACTCATCAAGAAAATACAGATAAAACCGCACAAACACAATTTACAAACAATGATACAAAGTCCAAAAAAAATCACTCCAGACCACAGACTTTCCCTCTTTGCAAACTGTTTTTTGAGTTTAAAATGGTCCCAGTCCTGATCCAGTTTGAGTTCCACTTGATCCTGAACACAAAAATCCATCTTTACTAATCATCTCTACTCTCTGTCTGTCTCCTTTCAGGAGTCGAGTTTTGCCAATAGGAAGTTGTTGGAGCAGTTAACAGAAGAAGGACAAGAGAAGGACAGACTGCTGAGAGAGCTGGATGAGGCTAAGAAGGTACACACACACACACACACACACACACACACACACACACACACACACACACACACACACACACACACACACACACACACAGAGGAGAAGCAGAATACACATTCTTGTTTGTGTGACACATACAATCACACAGATACACAAACACATTAAGCCATTTGGGTCGTAAGCACACTAATGATCAGCACAAATGTAACGTGTGTGTGTGTGTGTGTGTGTGTGTGTGTGTGAGCAGACAGCAGAGAAGAGGAAGGCCATGTTGGATGACATGGCCATACAGCTGAACCAGGAGAAGTCCGACCACAAGGAGGCGCTGTCAGACCTCAAACTGCAGCACGAGAAGGAGGTGAGACTCCAGAGATGATGCTGCTCTTTACTCTGACTGCAGGTTTCATGTTTTCTCTTCAGTTTGTCCTTTTCATTTTGTCTTGTAGTTTTTCCTAGAAATACAAAACAACCTCATAATATCTTGTGAATGATATGAGAAGTCTCCTTTTCTCCTCTCCTCTCCTCTCCTCACCTTGTCTCCTCTCCTCTCTGCTCTCAGGTTCTCGGGGTGAGGGCTCGGTATGAGAAGGAGCTCAGAGGACTCCATGAAGACAAGAATCGCTCTGAGGAGGAGATCCGACAGCAGCTAAGAGATGAGAAGGTAAAGAGGGGGAGGAAGAGGGAGGAAACAGGAAATAAGAGTAACAGGGAGAGAAGGTGATGGGTGAGGTAGTGGGGAAGGAGAGGAACAAGGAGGAGAATCAGGAGTAGAGGAGGCAGGAGGAAGGTAGATTTCCTAACTTTGATATAATGCCTCCAAAACTCTACTCTTCCTCAGCACAATCAGTCCTCATATCTTATCACCTAGTGTCTGTCTGCAGTGTGATTATCATCTGTGTGTTTCAGGCTCGGACTAAAGAGCTGGAGGGTCTTCAGCCGAAGGTGGAGGAGCTACAGGCTCAGGTTCAGTCCATGGAGGGAACCAAAGGCTGGTTCGAGAGACGACTCAAGGAGGCCGAGGTCTGTCAGCCAGTTAAATCGCTCTTTTAGCTTTTTGCACAGTAAACTTTGAAACTCCCCTCAGATCATATTTGCTCTTCCGTATGGAAAAAAACATTCGTACACAGTCTGGGAGTGACTTTGATTTGGCTCTGAACGTTTCTGTGAAATAGTTTGTGTTGTATCTCGAGGCAGATGATGTTTTATAACGGAACATTTAGCCAGACAGCAAAAATGTATTTACTTGTACTAAAATGAAATATTACAAACGTGAAGCTGGATTTGAGTGTAACAGGTGATTCTTTACCTGGATGGAATTTGCTCATGACCTCATGATCTAAGATATTTCTCTGCTCTTCAGTCGATGAGCAGATTTCTGTGTCTTCATGTTTCCTGTGTGTATTTCACCACCAGCTCTTTGTGTTCAGCACTCCGGTCACCTGTTATCGTCTGACTTGACAACCTGTGTGTCTTTGTGTGTGTGAGCAGGAGAACATAGAGAAGAACTCTCTGGAACATCAGGAGGAGATCAAGCAGCTGCAGAGAGAACACACACTTCAGCTGGAGGTACACACACACACACACACACACACACACACACGTGCACACACTCACACAGACACATGGTTTTTCAGAACAAGATGTCTCAGGAAGCATCTTTGTAAAAATGAATATATGCGTGCGTGGGTGTTTGTTTATACGTGCAGTCTGTGTAGGTGTGTTTGTGTGTTTGTGTGTGTGTGTTGAATCTGGTCCAGCTCTAATTGAATGTGTGTTTCTAATTAAAGCCTGGTTGTCTCCATGGTAACGCGGAGAGGTTAAATCGTGTTAACAGCAGATCAGAGTGGAGGAGGCTCATGTTAAACTGACAGTCTGTTACAGAGACTCTGAACAAACACAATCTGTCAGGACGGAGCTCGGTTCACTCTCAGCCTGTTGTTACACAGAAAACACTCATCACTCCTTTGTGTCGGTGTTTGTTCTTTCTTCTTCTGTTGTTTCTCGTCACATGTCGTTTTTACACTACACTGTCGCACTGAGAGGAGGCTCTGTTTAACAACTGACTGACACTCGCATTATGAGTCTCTAACGCCTGATTTTAACCCTGAAATAGGGCTGAATGATATGCAAAAAAAATTTTTAAAAATCATATTGTGATCATTTTGGCAGATATTGAGATATAAGTCACGATTTCAGTTGGAGTGGTCATTTTTTCATTTTTATTTTCACTCTAAAAAAAAAAAATGCAAAAATGATGATGATGTGATTTTTACATTCCCTTACGTCTGGAGAATATGATTTGCAGGCTGAGGCGTCTCTGTAGCATCAAAATTCATTACCTACCCTGAACCACAACTAATTTTAGAATTGGGGCACATTTCCACTTGATCAGTTATTGTTTGATGTCCAGTGTGTCGGGTGAAGAAACCTTTTTAATCGCACGAATCACCAACAATCTGACTGTTGGATGATAGCAGGGATTTCTGTTTTGGTCGCCTCTGCATCTTGATCCGTGATCAGATTTCCCAACACGACTTCTGTCAAACAATCTGTTTATAAACTGATAAACAGAAATGTCTAGTATCAGTCTCTGTCAGTCAGTGTGTGTTTGTGTTGGCATCATTTGACCTCACAGATATAAGCTTTGTAATAAATCAGTCTAATTCAGACAGTTAGAGGAGCTGCTTTGTTATTCTTGTGGAGACACTTCAGTCAGTTTGATCCAGACCAACACAAAACTAAAAGTTGATACTGTCTGAAAACAGCTGCAGCTTCAGGAGTGGCATACAGTCCAAGTGAAGTAAGGATGTTTTCAGAGATGAAGACATGAATAACTTTTATTTTCATCAATTACCTTTGTAAAAAGAACCTGAATCAGATCGGTATCTGTTGTGACCCCCCTTTGCCTTTAAACCAGCTCCAGTTCTCCTCGTACACCTGCTCACAGTTCTTCAGGTTGTTCCAGCATCTTGGAGAACCTGCCTCAGTTCTCAGTCTCAGGGTCTCTGTGTCTTCATGTGATCCAGACTGACTCCATGATGCTGAGATCAGGACTCTGGGGGGTCCAGACCATTGGTTGCAGGACTGCTGGTTCCTCTAGTCTCTGAAGATTGTTGTCCTGCTGCAGGATGAAGCTGGACCAATCAGACGCCTCCTGAAGTGTCTCAAACTAAGACAAAGTCCGCTGCCAAGAAAAAAGTTAGAACAGAAAATAAGTCTGTTAACGAACTCTCGTTTCAGGAGCCTGAATTATAAAAAGGTCGAGCAGTGGTTCAGTCTGGAGTCTTTATTGTGGTTATCAGTAGAGTTTGCTAACCAGCCAATAAAGCACAACCCGCTGTGCATCATGGGATGTGTCAGTGTTGATGTAACAAGTCCTTTCAGTCAATCAGATTAGCAGGCTGCCTGGTCCTCGTGCTCCTCGGAAATCCTTCAGGGAGAAAGAGTTTCCTCAGAGACTAACTTCAATGATTACTCTGTTTCTCTGTGTGTGTGTGTGTGTGTGTGTGTGTGTGTGTGTGTGTGTGTGTGTGTGTGTGTGTGTTATCTGTTGGATAACAGCCCTGTACTAAGAGCAGGTTGAGGAAACTTAATAGGAAAAGTTAATTAATGATGGAGGAAGTCTAATTAGCAGCAGGTCGGGTGCTCAGCAGGAGCTCCACGTGGCGTGGGTTTGGATTTCAGCCGTCACGTATCGTTTCCTGTCTGGCTGACTGAACACTGATGGTGTGTTAAATCTCAAACAGCAAACTGTTAGAAATGATCAGGACAAACACAGATACACAGGCGCTCACTGATAAATAATCCTCTTGTTTAATGGGGGGGACAAACAAATAGCGCGTTACAGCTGCTCAGGAGTTGGAGCTGTGCACGCTGCCTCTGTTTACTGTTAGAAATAATCACCTGCATCTTCAGAAGACGTGAGTTTGTCCCTTGTGTTTATGTAAAACCCTGAAATCTACAGTTACATCAGTTTCAGATGATAATTGATTATTATTAAAAGATCATTATGTGAAAAAGAAGAAAATTAATTCACAGCTTGGAGATTCTTGGATTAGATTTAAAAGAAAAAGGTTGTTACATGTTTTGATTCATGAGCTAAAATAAAGATATAATGTCCTATGTTTCATCATAACGCCATAGGGCTGCAAAATCAAAATATTATCAAAATCTCAAGTGCAATATCCAGTTTGCAGGAGCTGCCATTTTTTTGATAAAGGTAAAACGTGTCACAACATAAATAACTGTGAATGAAGCGTTACGGTGCAACAGAGACGCCCCGGCCTACAGATCATATTCTCCTGCTGTAAAGGAACAAAAATCACATCATCATCATTTTTATATTTAATAAATATAAAAGGATAATGCAAAAAGTACCTTTCCCACTATAATCGTGACTCATATCACAATCGCAGTTCGGCCCTGATTTGTTATATTATATATATATATATATATATATATATATATATATTAAACATTTGCTGTAAGATTCAAGGCTGTGTGTTGATTTTCATAGACGTTAACAGAAAAACAGGAAACGGCTGATAACACATGAACTCCACTACATGTTCAGAGGTTTCAGCTTTCAATAGAGAAGTTAAACCATGTGAGGGGTGAGGGTTTTTTTCTATTTTATATACAATTTGCTTTTCTTACAACATTGTATAGTTTTAAAGGTTTTAGTGAAGATGGAGAAATGATTCAGTGATTAAGACACAAAAGGAAAACTCTGCATCGGACTCCACTGAAGCAAAACAGGTTCAGTTGAAAATGAACCGTAAAACATTCAGGTTCTTTAAAAGAAGTGAAGTGACACTGTAACCTCACACTCTGCTGTTTAAATGATGAGAAGTTACAGTCACGTTGTCTCCACAGCCTTGTTTATCACACTGAGGCCTATAGTGCTGCTCTCGTTAGCTTAATACAGAGCGATGGTTGATCAACCAGCTGCTGATGAGAGACCGACACCCTACAGGTGCAAAGACCAGCGACAACAGCAGAGGAGGAGACGTTTCCGCAAACTGAAACAAGCTGCTAAAAGTTTTACTGATCAAAGTTTCAGGCTCAAGGAGAAGTGAAGATCCTGTTGATGGAAATATTACACGAATAAAAAGAGAGGATACAAATGTCTAGTGTACATTTTACCAATACTGCTTCATGAGTAGTCAAGAGCACCTTCCCTCCATTATTTTATCTGCACCGTTGTATTTTGAGCAGACTTCAGGTCAGTGTAGAACTGCACTGCTCCCTCATTGTGGACCAGGTCTGGGAATGAATTGAGTGTGTGAGTGTAACGAAAGTCCGATTTTAATGACAGAGGATTCAGTTCAATTCAAGAAAACTTGATTTGTCCTGAGGGGGGAATTTAAAAGGCACATCAAGTAGACATGAAAACACAACCAGTGTCAAAACAACAGCCTGTAAAATAATAATGAGAATGACCAGTGCAAAGAAATAACAGACACACATGAAGATAATCTGCAATAAAAACTATCTTGCACAGTATAAACAGTATATGTGCATATTGGCTGCAGAGTTTTTTTGTTGTTTTTTTTGTCACTGCTGCTGAACAATCATCAGCTCACAATGAACACGTCAAGAAGAATTCATAATTTTTAATTGATTGATCATCCATCTATTTTCTCCTCCTCATCCAGGTCCAGCTCACATTCATTTAATCACTTATATCATCAGGGATTATTGTTTTGATACTGTTCAAAAGTGCTGAAATGCTGTGATATAATGATCATAAATAATTCTTTTGAACCTGTTTTTTCATTATTCACACTTTGACCGTGGTGATGATGAAACACGTGATAAATGTCTTTCTATAAGCTGTAAAAATGACATTAGATTTAACTTGGTGAGTCTGCAGAAACCCTGATACACTATCTGTTTAATCCTCCACTGTTCGCCTGCACACACCTGTCTGCCTCCGTACTCTGTCTGTCTGTGTGTGTGTGTGTGTGTGTCTGTGTGTGTGTTGATATTAACAGACACACATCTTCCCCTCTGCTTCTCTTTTACTGTTTCTGTTTCTCCTCATTTCTCGGTGTAATAAAATCTGAACGGCTCAGAAATTAACACAAAAGCTCATTTCTGCTTGATGAGGCGTGTGTGTGTGTGTGTGTGTGTGTGTGTGTGTGTGTGTGTGTGTGTGTGTGTGTGTGTGTGTTGTGTGTGGTTGTGTGTGTGTGTGTGTGTGTGTGTGTGTGTGTGTGTGTGTGTGTGTGTTGGTGATTAAGATGTGTGACATTACAGGGAATTAAGAGACTCTGTTTTCCTCCAGAATGACATGTTTTCAGTGTGTGTCAGGTGGGCGGCTGCAGCCTGCGGGTTTGTTAATGTAGATTTTAGTCAAATTAATTAGCAGCAGAGGATTAGAGGAGAATTAAAAGCAGTTTTTTTGTAACTCAATCCCCGGTCAGATGGATTAAGACTGAGGGGGCATCACTGGAGGTGGAGATGTAGCTTGTTTAAATCTCTGTTTTACTTTGTTTGACGAGGAGAGCGACGGATGGAAGAGGAGTTTCACAGAGGCGTCACTCTTCTCTGTCACGTCTTTACAGTTGTTAAGTTTCTGCTCCAGATGTGTGAACTGTTGACCTCCTGGTGTTAACCATCCTCCTCTCTCTCTTTGACCCTCTGTGTGTCTCCGTCCTGCAGGAGAAGCAGTCAGAGATGGAGGGACTGAAGCAGCAGCTGGTGGAGGTGGAGAAACAGAAGGATGAACACGGTGACACCATTGGAAAACTCAGACAGGTACCAGCTGATAGGCTGTTTTCACCTGTGTCTGTTTGTTTGTCGATGGCGTTACGCTAAAAGTGCTAAAACCGATTTGCCGAACCTTTGGGGCAGATCTGAATCACTTACTCTAAATTTGAATTTTTTCCCTCTGAAGTCTGGTGCATGTTGTTTGACGCTGGAGATCTGCCCTCCCTGAGTGACCTTCAAGTTTCAGCTTCTTGTCATCAAATCCCGTCTGCAGAACCAAACCGACACTGAACGTATGATCAGTGTATCACAGTCTGATGCATCTGATTCCTCTGAGCCACAGAGCTGCAGTCTTGTCAAAAACACATCAGTGATTCTCACTGTGTCACCGGGTGACATGTTCCCTCATCACCGTGAACACACAAACTGTAGTTTATTTTGACTCGGTCTCACACAAACCATCCTGCTGCCGTACATACTCAATAGAGCACCAATAGTGGATTCATCTGCTGCTGAAAATAGTCCCCAACAAATGCATTATTTCCTCCTGTTTGTTTCAACTACCGGGAGCAGCTGTTTAAGGAAATTACTGAGCTTTTCTTTAATAAAAGAAACTATAGAGTTGTTTTAATAGATTTACATCTTCAGTAGGAACCAGTGAACTTGGAGCTGAGAGCCTTGATCACTTACTTGAGTAATGATAATAACTTTATTACTATCTCACTTTTCAAAACAGTAGTTATAAAGTTCTTCACAGAGCAAAGACTGCCAAAAGAGTAATATAAATAAAATGTAGGATTAAATATTAAGATCACAACAAAGCAAAAGAAAACAACAAACACACACAACATTTAAAATACAGCTACGGTATATCTAAAATAAGATCAACACACTGAATGACAGAAGCTAACAGTAAGCTGTAGAGTGTTAACATGACAAACTGTGTCGTGTGCACATGTGAGCCAGAAAGTCTTAAGTTCCTCTGGCAGGGTCCACTGAAGGTGTCATGTGACTGGCCAGTAAATTTAAACTTGATCTGTTTCAGGGATAAACATGATGAGGTACCTGCACACATGAGACATAAAGGAAGGGTTTGCTGTTCCTCACGGCAGCCAAAGAACCATCTGTTTATTTATTTTACCATTCCTGTGTATCAGTTTTTCATGTCCCTCAGTTGTTTTTTTATCGTCAAGCACTTTGCAGTGTCGGCTATAGAAAGAAGCTTTATGAACAAACCTCCTGGTATTTAAAGATATGAACCTCTACAGCAACATGACTTATGAAATATGCAGTTAAAATATGTAAAATCACTGGGTTGATCCTTTTAAAAAGCTGCATCAGCATCAAAGCAAAATGATTTTACAGTTGTGGAATTATTATTGTTTTATTCTTTCTGTCTCTGACCTCCATCAATCTGCTCTGTGTGCAGGAGATAAAGGACACTGTGGACGGTCAGAGGATCCTGGAGAAGAAAGGAAGTGCAGCGGTGAGTTCAGTGTCCACTGACTGATAGACAGGCCACTCATCCATCTGTCTGTCCGTCTGCAGTGATGGACAGACAGACAGATGAGTGGATGCACTGAGTAGAATTTAAAAAGAGATGACAGAGAGGGAATATATTTTCCAGAGTAATTTAAGGGCAGCAGTGCATGGAAAATAATAATTACAAAGTAAATCCCTGACTGTGTGTGTGTGTGTGTGTGTGTGTGTGTGTGTGTGTGTGCGTGTGTGTGTGTGTGCGCAGCTGAAGGACTTGAAGCGGCAGCTGCAGCTGGAGAGGAAGCGAGCGGACAAACTGCAGGAGAGACTCCAGGAGATACTGACCAACAGCAAGACCAGGACAGGTACACACACACCTGAGATGACACTGTGATGTCACAACAGTGTCTGGTCTCCAGAAAGAGTCTCTGGCTCTGACCTGGTTTAATTTGATGTCAATAACTGAGTTTAAAGGACCAGTGTATAGGATTGAGGGGAGCTGTTGGCAGAAGTCGACTGAAATATTAATTAATATTAACTGTTATCATAATTCATCACTGAGGATTGTGGTGTTTTTACTATTTTAGTATGAGCCCTTCATATCTCCATGACCAGGTCCTCTTCCACAGAGCCGCCGTGTTGCACCCTCATGTTTCTACAGTAGCCCATAACGGACAAACCAAACACTGGCTCTAGAGCCTTTGAGTTTTTATGTTACCTGAAGGCCACCGTAGGTTCTCGTACATGCTTGGACAGGGAGGGGTGAGGGGAGGGCCACTGGTCCTTTAATGTCTGGAGTTTTAGAAATAGCGCTTTTTCAATTTATTAATGAAATCAAATCTTATGTATCTGTATCGTTTATGTTTTTTCCATTTACAAATGTTTGTTTGTTTGTTTGCTGAGTTGCTTTTTGTAGTAGTTAGACGCCGTCCTTGGTTGACTGTGCTCGATACTTCTGCCCAGAAGAAAACACAGCTGTTATTGTGTCACCAAATGTAAATCTGAAATTATCTGAGGAGGGAAATGATTAGGTTTTGTTTGACTTATCTAAATAATATCTTGGGATTTGCTGATTGGGTGACGCATTACAGTCAGCATCCATGGTCATCCTGAAGAGATCTCAGTCAGGTCTCAGCATCTTTGCTAATTTACCACCAGCTCTGACATCTCTCCGGAGATAGATTCATTTCTGGAAGATAAAGTTCTTGTAACAGTCTGGAGCTGCCTCTGTGGCTCCTTACAGATCTCCACACTCCGCAATCAAGTTAACAAAGATGAATAAATAAAAACCAACAGAGGCAGTGTGATGACTGATAACAAACAGGTGTATAAACACTTGAGTCCTGCTGAGCTTGCAGATTGATGAAACTGCATCCTCCCATTCTTGGGAATCTGGATTGCCATATTCAACAAGTTCAAACAATTGTTAAAGAGACTTGAGATAAAGTTCATCTAATGACGACAGAAACATCAGCTGAGGAGAATTTTAGGGCTGAACTGAAGTGAGCGAGAAGAGGGGAACTTTTGTCCTCAAAGACAAAGTCAGTGTCAGTATTCCACCATAACTTCTACTGATTTAAGTCTGAGTGGAGAATCAGAAAATTAATACATCATCAAAACAACTGTGGCCCACGGAGTGATGTGTTCAGGGTCTGCAGTTTTCTTTTAGTCTCAGATTTAGGTTCTTTGTTTCCTCAAACTGACAAAAATGACGAGAGACCCGAAGTCCAAACCCAAACTTATGGGTACCATCACAGACAAAACAGCCATGTTGTTCAGCACTTTATCGCCTCAGAGCTCTGTTCACTGTCCTGAAACAGAACCTGCCCATTGCCCTTTAAATGCTCCAGTAAGGAGAGATGTGTATGTGTGTGTGTGTGTGGTTGTGTGTGTCCTAAGTGGCTGCGATGTGATTGGAACGTGACCGATGGGGCCGATAATCTGCGGCGTGCTAACCCTGCATCAGGAGGTTCTGGCTTAGTCCGGAACCTTCTGTTCAATATTTAATGCCGTGCTCCGATTCCCAGAGCTGAGGTGGACACACTGGCGTCTGCTGGCACAATACACACACAAATACACGTAAATACAACACTTACACAGCCGCACAGTCAGTCACTTTCTGTTTGTCTCCATTACATTTAGTTTTCTCTCACTTGTTTTTTCCACATTTCTGTCTTGGATTTTTTTTAATTTAACAGCCTTTCAGTCACACTGTTTGTACTCGTGTACTCGTTTTATGCACACACTCACACATACTCACAGACACACACTCGCGCGCGTGCGCGCGCACACACACACACACACACACACACACACACACACACACTGGTGCAGGGCAGTCCTCTGCATCATGTATAATCAATGAGTAGTGATGAATGTTTAAAAGGCTCTTCTGCACAAACCTGAGAATCAGACATTTTAAAGTAGCATACTTATCTCTCTGCCCACTCCCACCACCTGCCTTAAAGGGACGGTCCAGTGCATAACAGGGACGGCCATAGTCTTAAAGGCACAGTTCGCTCATGGCCGTTCCCAAAGAGTCTTTTTAAACCAGGAGACAATCGCTTTAAAACATTCATGGATAAATCCAAATGTCAAGACTTCCCTGCACTGGCAGACTCACAGGTGGAAATTACAGGTGCACAGCTAAAAGTCAGAGCGCTGCCCATTTACCACAGTTTATCAACACCAGCATGAGGCCTGGCAGACGACCAGTGAGGCAGACACAGGACTGACCCTTTACGACAATGAATGGTCCCCCTCAGCCGGTGACCTGTCCCTAAAAGCCAGTGGACCTTTTAGTTAAGCAAGTGCGCTGTCCCTTTAAATGATCATTTAAAAGACTTAAAGACAGTTAAGTGTCTTAGAGGCACGATGTGTTTTACAGGGGATACTTCACTGACTTAATGTGACAGGGGACAGTCCTTTCACCACCATTTTCCACTGCAACAGTTAGTTATAGATAGTTTAATGTTTGGGTGGACAACTTGTTTATGTATAGTTGAGATTTTTTGACATGAGATACATCAGTGCACATTCAGGCAGTAAGTTTTTTTGTTTTAAACCAAAAATGGAAAAACAGCTCAGCTACACTTTATAGAATGGCCATTCTATCCTCTTAGCTCTCTTTTGAAATATTTATCGTTACTTCCATGCTACCTGACAACCTTTAGTCATTCTTTAATTAAATAAGGAATATGGAATAAAAAGGAATTTGCAATTTGATGTTCTTGTTTTCGTTTTTAATTCTGATGGAAAAAGTGCTCTGTTTTTCTGTTTTTCCGTTTTTGGTTTAAAATGAAAAAACAAACTGCCTGAAGGTACACAGACTGAGATACTCACAGGCAGATTATACAGTGTATGCAGAAAGTATCCAGACCTTTTTCCCCTTTGCAGCCTGATGCTAAAATCAAAAGCTGAGGATCACAACTCAAGAGTGCTGAAAATTTCTTTTAATCTTGTGTGTTGTGTTTACTCGCACTGTACGGTTCAGTCGACCGGTCATGACGCGGAGGTCACACTTAATATAAACACTGAACAGTCATTCAGTTTTAACCAATGACAATTTCAGTTAATAAAGTCTGATTACATTGCTCTGAATGCACTGTATTGTTGAATGGACACAGTCTCAGTCTGCAGACCCTGTGGATGAGACATCACAGCAGCATCCGGCTGTTGTAGCATCAGCAGCAGCAGAGTGTAGTGTGTAGTATCCTGACTGTCCTCTCAGAGGTGAATCCAGATGTTTTTTGTGTATATTTTCATGATTTCCTGCGGCTCTCATCACGATCTCCATCCTGTCTGTCTCAGGTCTGGAGGAGCTGGTTCTGTCAGAGATCAACAGTCCCAGTCGGACTCAGCAAACCGGAGACTCGTCCTCCGTCTCCTCCTTCTCCTACAGGGACATGATGAAGGAGGCTCAGCCGGCCAATCAAAACAAGGTGGGTGGAGCCTCAGCCGCTTATCACAGTTCAGAGAGCTAAAAGGTGACTGCCTCAGAAACACTGACAGAAAAGAGAAAGGCAGTGTTACGGTGTGTAATTCTGCAGTGAGCTGGCTCAGAGTCCAGACTCTGACGACATGTAAAACTCCACTGTCATGATATTAAAACTGGTTCTCTACAGATCGTAGCAGAGGTTTCGACAGCACTCGTGACTCATGTAGGAGTTTGTTTCAAGCAGCAGACAGTTGAACATTCATTTCCAACAACCAGGTCATTGATCATCCACTCAGTTAATTAGCTGTAGGTGCTCAGGCTCCTCCTAAAAACTAAAAGTCAATGACTTGAGCGCTGCAGGAGGAGCATGTGTGGCTGGCTGTAAACTGCACAACCCGAGTCTTGCGTGTGTGTGTGTGTGTGTGTGTGTGTGTGTGTGTGTGTGTGTGTGTGTGTCGTGTGTGTGTGTGTGTGTGTGTATGTGTCCCCCCGGTCTGACCTCTCTACCTGTCTGTTGTTATGACATCAGTTACCATGGGGATGTGCTGACGTGGTGATAGCAGGCTGAACAATAATATCCCATGATCCTCCTCTTTGACTGTCACTGTATCAGACAGTAGATTTAAATATTTCTTCTGTTTTTGTTTGATTATATTTTACATTTATTTTCTCAGAAGAGTCTTTGAAGTTCCTCTGCTGCTATTTTTAACTGTCATCATGGTGACACTGTGTGTGTGTGTGTGTGTGTGTGTGTGTGTGTGTGTGTGTGTGTGTGTGTGTGTGTGTGTGTGTGTGTGCGCTCCTATTGATAGAAACACCGTAAATAGAGCTGACAGGTTCAGTTTATGTAACCGAATGTTTCCGTCAAAACATGAAAGTAAGCAGAGTCCACCGTCGGGTCAGTTTACTGCGGTGGTTTGGTCGTCATTAGCAACAGCGTCACATGACAGAGAGGGTGTGATGTGTGTGACTTCCTCTGACAGCTGAGAGACAGAGCTGTGAAACCATCAGTTTTTAAGCTCCTCTCAGACCTGGTGATGTAAATGTCCTGGTTTATTTTGTCCTAAATTACTAATCAATCAACTTATATGTAAATTCACACATTATTATTTGAATTGGTTGTTTTGCAGTGTTGTTGGGCTTCACTGTAACCTACTGTATTGCGACACTGTCTACTCACGTAGCATGACTGAGATCACAGTGCGTTTGATGACATTGACCAGTGTGAGGTTCAGGGGTTGGCAATAATTAAAACTCTTTCCCAGGTCACATTCTTTCACACTAGCTCGCAGCAGTCGCCCTGTTGGTTTTGGGGATGTTTGGGGAGCGAGGTGGTCCGTGACTTTTATTTAATGGTTAAGTCCTTGGTCTGAAAAAGTTTGAGAAACACTGCTCTCATCAATCTGATAAGAAAAAAAAAATGTTCACACCTGTCTACAGCAGGTACTCGTACAGTCTGTGAGGGGCCACGAGGGACACGAGGTTTTTTTTCAGGGGTCACCACTGCTTTAAAGAAAGAGACAGATAGTGATGTTATTCTGTTTCTACTTTCTTGTTCTGAGGTCCTCATCAGAAAGTTTGTGAGTTTAAATCCCCTGCTGCCACAGAGCCCTGGAGCAGGACAGATCAGTCACCTCTGTCTCTGAGTTGATGTTTAATGATGTTCTCTCCCTGCTCGTGTCTCAGTCTGGAGGAGGCAGTCCTCAGTCCAACCGTCCGGCTGAACTGTCTGATGACGAGGTCGGAGAGTTGTTCCAGCGTCTCGCTGAGGTTCAGCAGGAGAAGTGGATGCTGGAGGAAAAGGTGAGGAGCTTTCTGTTACCATGACAACCGTATGTTACATGTCCTGTCTCTGTCCCGTGTGTCTGGATTACTATCAGCAAATAAAACCAAAAAGTCAAAGAAAAGCAAACTTTCAGCTCGTCCTGTTTGAGCGGCTCAGTTCAGGTTCAGCCTGTTTTAGAAGCAGGTTTATGTTGTTGGATGAATTATTAATGTTCAATATTCCCAGTGTCTGCAGGTTCCTTGGTGAGCTCTGGGCTGAACAAGTTTCTGCTGCTGCAATAATTCATCTGTTAAGTTAATAACTTTGATACTTGACAAGTTCTTTCAGTTTTCAATTAAAAACTCGATGTTTGCTCGTTATTTGAAATCTGACTCACCGGTCCAGCTCAGTGTTCTCTACAAAAAGCCTCTCGGGCCATAAAAGTCCTCCATGTTGGATTTTGAATCTTTTGAAAAGGTTATTTGACACCTCCCCCTCTGACAGCTACCAAATTTTCTGTAGATCATCATTTGACCCAGCTGATCAAAGGTTGTGTAAAACCTGTTGATATCTTATTTAGTTTTTAAGATATTAACTAATAAACTTCACAAGCGGTGGGGCTTAGCAGGAAAACTCATAACTCATAACTCATAACCCATAACTCATTAATGATTTGTCCAAACATCATAAATCTGGGTACATATCTTCAGGCCGTCTTTTGGTAGAGGTCTACCAAAGCCTCGTGATCTCGACCCATAGGGGGCTCCGCAACAATTCCAGGCGTGCGTGATCTCAGGGCCAGTGTCAACCAAAATCTTTGAGTGCACAGTTATGTTATGTTATGTTTTTAACATATTTACATAATTAAAAAAGATAAAATGAATCTGTAAATTTGTTAGTAGCTCGTCTATTCTTCTGTTGTTAGAAAACATAAAACACTGAACTGTTTTTTTGGTTTTTTTTATTCTGTCTCCAGGTGAAACATCTGGAGGTGAGCTGCTCGTCGATGGCTGAGGACATCTGCAGGAAGAGCGCCATCATAGAGACATATGTGATGGACAGCCGCATAGGTAACACACACACACACACACACACACACACACACACACACACACACACAGATAGTTAACATGATTTCTGAAGCAGTGATATGGACACAGACTTGACAGTGATATAACAGCTGCAGTATGTTGTCCCTGAGCTGTATCTTTAAAACCTGATGTTGAACCTCTGAGGTTTAATACTTGATTTGGTCTTTGAATCAAGAGGATTTCTCTCATAACAGGAACATATAATCCTCCTGTGAATGAGTGAGCGTTGCCCTGCTGAGGCCTAATGCTCAACAAGCCTAATATTATATTTCATAAAAATATAATCACTTGCTCTGAGGTGACAGCTGCAGCTGTTTGTGTTGGTTTTTCGGTTTGTTCCTTTAATTAGAGACGACAAAACAAACCAACACACACAAGCTTCTGTTGCTGTGATGCAAGAGACTCGTTTAACTGGAGGAGAACATGAAAAGACTGTAGGACGTGTGTGTTCTTCTCATTTAATAATAAAGGTCGGGTCACATTTTTTCTTTGGGCAGTGACTGTATAACACTCGTTAACAGTTGAAAAACATCATTAAAAGCTGCAGGTCTAAGTGGAGTTGACTGATCCAGCTGAGTAGTCAGACTGCAGCACCACATCATTTCTCCTCATGGTGTTCATGTAAACTGTATTCAGACGTCATCGCTGAGTGACTAATGATCCTGTAATTGTTTTAAAGATTCAAAAAGCTCAGATTATCTCAGAAAACTCCTCTGGTGCTTCTGACATTATTTTATACATAAAATAATTTTCATAAATGTAAAATAATGATGAGACTGATGAGAAGAGTGTGAAAGGACTCAATGGTACAAAGTGTTCTGTACAGTCCGAGGTAATATAAAGTCAGTCAGTGGTGGGTCAGCTGGCTCAGCACATCGTTTATCTGACAGTGACACTTCATTACAACCACTTTAATCTCCCGCTTCAGTTACCTGCACACACACATGGACCTGTGTGTGTGTGTGTGTGTGTGTGTGTGTGTGTGTGTGTGTGTGTGTGTGTGTGTGTGTGTGTATGTGTGGAAGAGGAGATGTTCTTCTGTTTATCGGGAACAAACACTTGAACATTGTGTGTGTTTCATAGAAAATCGCACTGATCAGTTCCTGAAACAGAGACATGTGGAGTCTTGAATCTGTGAATTCTGATGTTTCAGATTTTCTCTCTCTCTCTCTCTCTGTCTCTCTCTCTCTCTCTCTGTTAATCCATTTGAACTCACTGTCTCTCCCTCATGTTCCACTGCTGCTATATTTAGCTGCTTTACTGTTTTAGCACAGTGATGCTGAGCGTGTGTGTGTGTGTTTATGTGTGTGTGTGTGTGTGAAATGTTTTTTAATAACTCCTCAAACTATCAGCAGATTTATTTTTCACTTAAATACCCTCCTCCTCCTCCTTTTTCTAATCTCTGATCCTCCTGCAGAAACAACAACACACTGTATTAAAAACTGAACATTAATAACAAAATTAGAGCTGTTTTCTTTGGTTCCCACCTTCATTTCAACCTCTGTTAATGCTCATGTTGAACTTTGATTCAGATTTTTCAAATTTTAGGATTGATGCATTTACAGTAGTAGAGACGTGTCACATCAGTGAAACTTCTTTTACTTCTACAATCAGAGAATTCAACAACTGAGACCTGAGCAGTGCCGTTCAGTCTTTAATTCATTATAGAGAAACGATAATAAAACAGTTGGCTGCTATCCATTGACTCCTCTACAACATGTTTTGCATTTACTTTTTCATTTACAAAATTGAAAGCACTTGACAAACTGTAAGCACAACCACATAAAACACTAAACCTGTGCCATGCACTCAGCTGTAGCAGCTGTTGTTAGCATGACACACTTCAGGGGCTGTATCAAACTTCCTGTGACAAACCACGATGTGTTAATGACATTTGTGAGACGTGCTCTTCAGCCGTTACCCATAACACCCCTCTCTCTGCACAGGCATTGATGTGCATCTTTGGAGAAGCATGATTCCTGCCTGACGAGGTGGAAATTCAAGTGAACAAAATGACAATAAAAAGAGGAAGAGAGTTTTTAAAACGGTCGACAATGATCATACTTAACCCAGTTAAAACTAAGGAAGAAAAGAAGGAAAAATAGACAAAATTCTATTGATGGTCAGGTCCGACCTGATCGATCAGTTTGATTGATCAGGTTTTAAACCAGACCCGTGCAGGACTCTTAAGTCTGCTCTTTACTCACCTGAACAAACACGTGACTCAGTGTCTGAGTGAAACTGTGAAACGTGGTGTACTGATAGTTACCTCTCCTCCCTCCTCCTGTTTCCTTTCCTGTCTCCTGTTTCCTCCCTCCCTTCTGTCCTCCTGTTTCCTCCCTCCTCCTCTCTCCTCATTGTTCTCTCTGTTCTTTCTCTCCTGCTGTTTTCAATTTCATGTTTCACTGGTTTAACTCTCATTCACTCCCATTAACACTGGAATGATGTGAAATCTAATGGGCAGTAAAACAAGAGCTGAGCTACTTCTGCTGCAAACTGGGCTCTGTGTGTGTGTGTGTGTGTGTGTGTGTGTGTGTGTGTGTGTGTGTGTGTGTGTGCGTGTGTGTGCGTGCGTGCATGTGTGCATGTGTGTGTGCATGTGTGCGTGCGTGTGTGTGTGTGTATGTTCTATACATCCAGTGTTCATTTACATTTAGTTAAGACTTGTCGTGAGTGTGTCATGGTTATTGTAACCTGCTGCTGGGTTGCTAGGCAACACCGTTGATCTGTGGAGCAGGTGGAGGGTTAATGCCTTGCTTCAGGGTTTCTCAGCAGCTCCTGTTCATCAGTGATATTTTCTAGACTTCAGATACTAACTCATGGCTGATGACAGACTGTTGATCTTTGCTGTTAGAGCCTCCAGACTGAAGTCAGACTGTAACTCATGAACTTTATTTAAATCTCTTCTTAAAACACATCTCTTTATCTCAGCCTTTACTAATGTTTAATGTGTGTTTTATTTATATTGTTTTATTCCTAATTGTTGTTCCTCCATGTTCTACGGCCTCTTTTCAACTGTCAACTTTTTTTCAACTTCAAGATCCTTTCAAATGTTTTTATTAATTCTGATGTCGTGCTCTTTTTACTGTGTTTTACTGTCATGATCTTTGGCATCTCTTTTATCTGGTTTTATTTTTCTGTGAAGCACCTTGTACCTTTTTTTTTTTTAAGAAAAGAACTATAATAATTATTATTATGGACACTCGACTCGGTGTGCACCTTAACTCCTCAAAGGTGGTTGAGTGCTGAGGTTGAACAGCTGTTCTCCAGATGTGTGAAACCAACATGCAGGTAAACAGAGTCACAGGTGTTCAGGTGTTAAATATTTACAGCACATACACCCTGCACAGTCAGCATCTCTATAGGAGCTGTGTGTGTGTGTGTGTGTGTGTGTGTGTGTGTGTGTGTGTGTGTGTGTGTGTGTGTGTGTGTGTGTGTGTTGTCTACTCTGCTGCCACATGATCTTCTTTTAATTAGAATTTCCTTTATTTGTTTCTTCATTTCTTTTTCTTTTAGTTCCATCAGTTTTTACCTCTTTAATCATTGTGTGTGTGTGTGTGTGTGTGTGTGTGTGTGTGTGTGTGTGTGTGTGTGTGTGTGTGTGTGTGTGTGTGTGTACGTGTACACTGCAGTCTTTTTTTATGTCTTAGTTTTATGCAGCTGACACACACACACACGGTTTGAGTGTTTGTGTCTACTTTTATGACAACATCAGATGTGATGTACAAGCTTCTGTTGTAGTGGTGTGTGCACACCAGTATGCCTATCACGTGTGTGTGTGTGTGTGTGTGTGTGTGTGTGTGTGTGTGTGTGTGTGTGTGTAACATGTATTTGGTCGTAAATCTGTCTTATTTACTACTGAGATCCATAAAAACACCCACATCCTGTCTTCTCTCCTCTCCTCTCATATTCTCCTCTTTTCCTCACTTGTTTCCTTCTCTTCCCTCTTGTGTCCTTTCTTGTTTCCTTCTATCTTTTTCCTCTTATCGTATCTCCTCCTTTCCTCTCCCTTCTTGTTTCCTCTTTTCTCCTCTCTTCACTTGTCTTCTCCTCTCTTTCCTTACCTTTTTGCTCCTTTCGTGTCCCCTTCCCTACTTTCTTCACTCTTTTCATCTCATTTCCTCTTTCGCTCTTGTCCTCTTATCTCCTTGTCTCCTCTCCTTGTCTTGTATCCCAGGACAAAGAAATAAAATTAGTAGTGTTGAACTGTGTTGACTTTTATTTTTTGTTGATCAACTGTTGATTTTTAAGCTGAGGTCTGTCCTGGAAGGTGTAGTCTGCAGCGCTCCGCCTAGCAGCACTGTGTAAATGTCTCTTGTGTTTGCTGTGCAGCTGGTGACTGAGGTGTTGAAGGAGGTCTCATAGAGGCTTAAAGGGTGTTAAAGAGAATCAGCTGATGACTGCAGAAATACTGTCTCACACACACACAGACACAGCAGCTTCATCATGGTGGTTAATACACAGTCACAGAGAAGCTTTAACCTTTAACCTGTCTCTGTGGACACACTGCAATGATTCTACTAGAGCTTTACTTTGTCAGAAACTCCTCGTCTCCTCGTCTCCTCAGATGTGTCGGGCAGTGCCTTTGGAGGCCACGGAGGCTCTCAGGGAGACAGAGGTGGTCTGGGTTCAGTCCTTAGAGATCTGGTCAAACCAGGAGACGAGAACCTGAGAGAGATGAACAAGAAGCTGCAAAACATGTTGGAAGAGCAGCTGACCAAGAACATGCACCTGCAGAAGGTAACACACACACACACACACACACATACACACACACACACACACACACATAGAAGTCCGTCTGTTACTTCAGCACCTCGGACAGCGTCATGGTTTTATCAATACGCAGCACAGTTAGATCGTGGGCTGGAGAGGGAGGATGGCTGGTTAACAGCCCGTTTTGTTAACAAAGGGGTTAACATCCCCCACCCCAAATCACCTACCGTAACATCAGCCTGGCTCGCTACTTACTGTGGTCGCCTATCAGCATCTTGAGGGATGCTGGCAACCGCTGACATGTCTATGAATAAACTGGAGAAATCTGTGAAATTAGCAGGTCTCTCTAACCAATATCATAATCCATAAAACAGTAACAGTATAATTGAATATAAACGAATTGACAGTGTCGAATATAACAAAAATGTATAATTACCTGCTAGCTGTCTAACATATCACAGGGTACGGCAAACTAGACTTTCTCCCATAGCAGACAGTTGAGCTGCAACATCTACGTCATCACCGATCACAACAATTAGTCGAAGATTGTTTCAGCCGTACGACACACACATCGAGGTATAAAGAACAAATAGGAAATAAAAGCCACAGCAGTTTGTCCACTGTGCTGACATCACTGCACGGGATTTCTGGATAGTTATAGTAGTATAAAGTATATGAAGTTATACACACAAATGACCTAATGTCTGAACATGAAAACAGGCAGTTCAGTGTGTGCGAGTGTGTGAAACGTTGCCGAGCGGTTGGTGGTGGTAACTGTTCCCATGACGATGAGCAGCGCTGAGTGTGTGTTTGTGTGTAAAGCGGTTAATTCGTTGCAGGGGGTGAAGTTGTGTTTTGAGGAGTGTGTAGGAAGACAGATCGCCCTGAGGGAAGTCCAGGCCACACACACACACACACACACAGTGTTCAGTGACCTTGACAGAGAAACAGTTTCCTCTTTTCTCTGCTGTTGAAGTGATGAACAGATGATCAACATAACAACTTCTGACTTTAACATGTTGGACAGCAGATTCATATTTAAACAAAGAACTCGTTGTTCCTACAAATATCACATTTCCCAGTCGCTCCATCGACTTTGGAGCGTTTCAGGAGGTCAGCCATGTTTGTTGTCAACAGCAGTGTCGCTGAGTTAACAGTTTACGTGATCATTCTCTGATGTCTGTGGAGTCAGACATAAAACAAAGACTAAACAACGTCTTCTGCCACCTAAATGGCACCAGCGGTCAGAACCCGTCCCTGTGAGACACGTCCACTGACCAGGATGTCCCATCAGAACTCTTCACAACCAATTTTCTAGACATCTCAGTGATCCATTAAAAAAAGATTCCCAGACGTCTTAAAATGTACAAACGGAACCCACAGATTCACCTGTTTCTGTCTGAAACTGAAGATCTGAGACAGCGTCGACTGTTTTCAACATGTTCACATTTCTGTTTATCAGCGGCTGTTTTCAAAGTGAGGAATGAACTCCTCTCTCTCTCTCTCTCTCTCTCTGTCTCTCTCTCTCTCTCTCTCTCTCTCCCTCCCTCCCTCCCTCCCTCCCGCCCTCTGCAGGACCTGGAGGTTTTGTCCCAGGAATTAGTCCGTCTCAGTAAAGAGAACAGTCCTGGTGTCGGAGCAACTGGGTCGGGATGAGACCATGACCTGGATCCATCCGTCCCCCGTCCCCCGTCCCCCCCCACCACCACCACCACCACCACTATTGTTCTTCTCAGCTGGACGGTGTGGGCTGGGCTCAGACTAACACCTGGAACCAGTATTTCTTTCTTTCCATATTCATGACCTAAGACCTGCTGTGGGCTCTGACTGCTGTCTGGAGCTGTTACGATTTCACCACTTCAGTCTGCCTGCTGGGCTATGACTAAATACTGGAATTTGTCAATTTATTGTTTCTTAATGACACGAGAAAACAGTAAGTTATAAAGACCAGAGAGAATGGAAACATCAAAAGTTGCGCTCAGCTCATTTATGTTGCTTTTGAATGTACTGTAATTAGACTGCACCACTTTGTCGAGTCCTGGCTACAACCTGGAAACCACACAATGTAACAGACTTATGATTTCTATTGTAACGGACTGTAAATGTCTGCTAATGCCGTTACTGGTGTCTGTTGGGTCCTGGCTATGTCCTGGAAAACACAGTCCTTGTATCTGAACTGACTGAATTAGTTATTTTATTGGTTTCTATGTGTAGTAACTCTGTTGTGATCTGGCTATTTCCCGGGCTTCCTGTCTGCAACAAAGTCATTACTGAAAACTTGGGGCCTGTCTATGTCCTGGACTGTCTGACCTGTTACTGATAGTTTTCTTTCCAAGAGCTTTCAGTCACAACCTTCAGCAGCAGATCATTTAGTCATGTCACATGACTGACAGTCCCATGTTCAGGTCAGGTGATGAGGATTAATCCAGTGACTCTTCATCACAATTGAGTCTTTTCTGTCACTTTGATCTAGACAATTCTGTTTCCACATTTGTCTGACGACAGACACACACACGTGTTAATCAGGTGTGTTAGTGAGCAGACGCCAGCAGTTACACTGATTTAATGTTTTTTATGTTTGTGTCAGGCTGTGGCTATTTTCTGGACTAAGCTCCTGTCACATCTGTCTTACATGTCAAACCTTCTGTGTCTTTGGCATCATAGCCACAACATGGAGCTAATTTGCATCTCTCCTTTTATTTATTACTCCTCAGACACTCTGGGATGCAGAATGGCTCCTGTCACTTGTATGATGAGGGATGTTTAACAGGATCAGGACGTGTCATTTCAAGGTTTTATACAAAAGACAAATTCATGAACTCATCTGTTTATTATGAACACATAAAAAATGAATTTAAGTCATTTTTACATTAAAATATCAAATATCAATAATTAGGTTCAATGGCTGAAAGTTTGATCTTAAAATTAAGATAAAATCAGGTCTGCACTACTCACTGGGACTGAGAAAGTAAATTAGAGGATAATTTGGTTTCAAAAGTTCTGCTGCTTTTAAAAAATTGGATTTGAGTAAAAATCTGATGATGAGCTTAAATGTTTAGTTTTTTCTTTGTGGCTTCTGTCTGGAAATATGAGAATTAATGAGATTACAGCTCTGATCCAGCACCATTGGGCATCCATCCTCTCTGACATGTGATTCAGTTCAACCTGGGATGCAAAATGGCTCAATGAAAACTAAATGATTTTCGGTGTCTTTGCTTTTGTTTGGTTTTTGATGATTCAGCTCTTTACCTCTGAGGCCGTGTCTGTCTTGGATTACATAAATGTAATTTCTCCCTCACTGTTAACTTTTTGTGACTCTTTCCATCCTTACCGGCGACACCAAATGGTGCAGAAAAGAAGTGAAATTATCTTTGGTTGCTTTTTTGTGACTTAAGTTCTTTTATTTTTCTGTCGGGCAGGGCCTACTTCCTGCTTGAGAGAACATATCTTATTATTTTGTCTTTAAATCTGCTTCTGTGATTTTGTAAAAAATAGAACTTTAACTTTGAAAGTGAACGACAAACACTTCCTGTCTGTTCTGCTTTTTCTTTCTTCTCCTGGAATCTTGGATTTATTTTTATGTTTGCGACATGGCCCCTGACTGCACCCAGGATTACACTCTGTACCAGGATGGCTCCTGCTGACCCAGCTCTGACTATATCCTGGACATTGTGTGATGCTGTAATAATATGCCCGTACATCTCTGCTTTATTTTTGTTTGTACACTGCAGAAAACATCCACCTCAGTCTGAGGGAAAGACTCTGAACCAGTGAGAGGAGCTGGACTTGTTGCCAGAGCAGCTTCACTCGTTCACATAAACAAGTATCTCATGTAGATCCTTTAGACCAAACTTTAAATACATTATTACATATTTAACACATGAATGAACAATAAAAAAATATTAAAATAAGTTGCACAGCATAGGATCGAACCTTAAATTGGTCTGAAAGTTTAAATATAGATAATTTTAATATTTGATATCATAAAACAGTCAGAAGAAACCAGTCGAGCTGCACTGAAAACAAACTGAAGCTCTCTCTCTCTCTCTCTGTTTCTGAGTCTACACTGCTCTGACTGAGCGGGATCAGTCTATGTGCTGGGCGGTGACTCAGCCTGTTGCTTTGTTTTTGTTTGTATCTGTTTAAATCTGTATATATACGCTGTGATATGACTTCTAACTGTACGAAGAATCAACTGATCTATTTATGAGACTAATGATGATCATGACGCTAATTATTCTAACTACAAGAAAATATAAAATATTGTCTGAAGACATTGGTGTGTCCGTGGTTTTCTCTTGTTTCTAAGTTGTCGGAACTTAATCAGACCTGGGGTTTATCAGTCAATTGATTTTGTATCAACTCTCAGGTGAATCTGATCGACTCATCAGGTAACTCAACCTGTAGCCAGTGCTCGCCCGGTATAAATAAAGCTGTGCCTCAAGTTTCCAGCAGATCATTGCAGGACTAAATGTTTCTAAGGGGGCAGTGATGGAGCTCTAAACTGCTTTGAAAAATCAGGATCAGTTGTATCCAGCATCAGTTCACTGAAAGACAGAAAAGAAACTTCATCACAGACACAGAATCAGCCAAAGTCCTGTCAGAAGAAGGCTTGTCCCGTCATGGTCTCAGAGGACGAGCAGCATTTTCTAAACCAGGGGAAACGACCAAATGCTCAGTGGTCTCAAAAATACTTTTACGTTTACTGATGAATCCTAGTGTGAGGTTAATGTCAGTAACAGAAGAGTGGATGTAAGAAGACAATGATACCACAGTGAACGGTGAACTGGCTGTTTTTGACTTGCACCGAGCTGACTCCACCCTGACCATGGAGAAGTACCACTCCATCCTTCAGAAACAGGCTCCACCCTCTGGTTTGCAGGATTCATACTGCAGCAAGATCATGACCCAAACACCTCAGAGCTTTGAAGAACTACTTGAAGACCAGAGTCCTGACCATCATGGACTCTTCTCCGCAGTCATCTGACCTCCGCCTCACTGGACATTTAGGCCCTTGAGAAACTTCTGTGACATCACAAGAAGCTCTGTGGACCCTTATCAGATCATACTGGGAGAACATGGGTCAAAAGGTTTTGTCTCTGCAGCTCGAGTTCACCATTAAAGCAAAACTGGGACAAAGCAAATACTGAGATATTCTCAAATTCATGTTTCACACATGTAAATACTACATTCTCTGACTTTTGCACCGCGCTGTGCATCGTTAACAGAGTCTTAAGAATCCACCTGAGCAGTCTAATCTACAGCTGCAGTGACAAACTCTTGGCTGTCGACTTCTGTTTAATTATAAAAATGTATTTTGAATCAAAAAATTATGTTTGCATTAAAATTTGTGAGTTTAATGACACACAGAATTAAATAATAAGTACAAAAGATAAATAAATTAGATACATTTTCTTTCCTTATTCTGATTTTAGGGGACTAAAAATACTTTCTTCAAATTTTGATGTTTTCCATTTACTTATTATTATTCTTGTCACATTCTATCCATCATGTGAATTTCCTGTGAATCAAACATAATGTTGGTGGGAAGAATCAGGATTGATTTTTTCTGTGGAGCTCAGAGGGAAGATGAAGAGACGTAGTAAAAGAGAAAAGAAGCAGTTGTGTTATGAAAAATTAACAGAGGTGAACACTGCTGAATATTTTATATACTGTGTGTGTGTGTGTGTGTTGGTGTCACACTGTTTCTGTCTGAACTGTCTGCAGGGAGGAGAATGAAGTGGACAGGAAACGACTTCAGTCATAAAATCTGCGAAAAGTTGAATGAAGTATGGTTCTTTCGTCTGTTTTTTTTATCTCTGCAGGTGAAAATATTTAAAGGCTCTGTCTACTTCCTGGTTCTTTCGTCTGATTTTTTAATGTCTGAAAACACTTGAACGCTCTGTTTACTTCCTGGTTCTTTTGTTCTGTTTCAGTCTCTGCAGGTGACAAACTTCAGAGACTCGTCCAGTTTTTAGTTTTTCATCATCAGACAAACTGAAGAAGACAGACTCCACCTCCTCTATCCTTCCCACAATCCTCTCTGTTATTGTCGGGTTTTGTTCAGAATCAAACTCTTGTCAGAAAAGTTTGGTGATGGAGGTCGAGTCCGGGGCTCTCAGCGGGGAGACGCCGCCTCGTTCAGCACTAATTAGCTGTCCAGTACTTCCTGTCCCACAGAGGAAGACAGATTAGAGAGGTGACTGCTCGCCGCTGACGGGGTCTGCCTTAACGAGATAGCATCTGATTGGCTGGGCCGAGGGTTAATTGAAGGGAAGGAAGTGATGAGTTCTTCCAAATGTGGTTTTAATTAGAAGGAGGGCTCAGAGGGAGGTTGTCTGTCTGTCTGTCTGTCTGTCTATCTCTCTCTGTCTCACTCTGTAACTTTATTGTTTCTATGTTTCTCATCGTTTGTCTTGTTGTTTCCTTCAGTCACCTGTTCTGAAGGTGATTTTTTGTGTTTGTGTCTGGGAGAAGTTCCTGGTCCAGAGGATCCTGGGTCTTTGAGACCTGCTCACAGGAAGTCCACCTGGTAGACCAATAAATTACATCTAAGATCATAATTCATACATCCATCAACCTAAATCACTCTTCAGACCCCAGTTTTTTTGACAGTTGAAGTTTCAATCAGCGATTGGAAAAAACTCAAAGAAACCTGAGAAGATGACAGGAGGAGGA